AGGTCATGGGCAATCGATCTTGTACTTTTTACCACAGTAGACGTATATTCCGCGAATCTCAAATACAAGATAGGCTTCACAATACTGGTACTGGCTGAGCGACAGAGTCGGCCCCAAAACAGGAGCTTTGATTTATCTACTCTGCCTTGCATTGACCATAGTCCTAGCACCTGAGCTGTAGCAACTGTAGGAGATCTCTTGTGGAGGTTATGGACTCGTCTAGCAAAGTAGCGCTGGACAATTTCCATTTCATTCATCTCAGTGCTGCTGATATTGCGCCACAGCTCACATGCGTAGAATGCAGAAGGAAAGATAACTCTTTGCCAAATATTGGACGATGACACAGGGTTTAATCCACCAGCTCGTAATCCTACATCTCGGAGTGAATTTATTGCTCTTCTCGCCTTGGCACATGCACGAGTTGTCCTTTCTCTTGCTTTCTCTGTATGCATGATGGATCCCGCATACACAGTGTTGGATTTGATTGGCAGTCTTACACCCCCGATTCTGAATATGGGTTTGTTGAGATATTTTGTAGAATTTGTGAAGGACAGGACACAGCTCTTACTGGCGTTGTATGTCATTCTCCAACGGCAGGCATATTGGTGGATCTTGTTAAGAGCCATATTGATACCATGTACAGTACGTGTCCCAGTCGGCAAACAGGGCACTAGGACAGAAGATTTGTCTGGTCCAGTGTAACTAGAGGTGTTAAGCAGGGATGTCTCTTATCCTCTACTACTTTTCAACCATTTTATCAATGATTTGGCTGTGACTATGAAAGGATGAAACTACGGGTGTTGTAATGTATGCAGACGACATGGTTCTCTCCGCTGAGTATGCTTGACCATCTAAATGGGTGGTGTTCAAGTAATAGGCTTTGGATCAGTTCTGAAAAAACGTACATTGTACACTTTCGAAACCCATCTTATACCAATGACTCAACAAAGAGTGTTTACTTGCGGAGATTTGCATTTCGAGACTGCGAAAATGTACCGCTACCTGGGACTTACATTGAGCGAATTTTTAGACTGTAATGACACCGTGAAATACGTGTCCCAGTCGGCAAACAGGGCACTAGAACTGATTAAGCTTCTCGGTGGTGTGGATTTTGATGTGCCCAAAAAGCTATATGACATCAATGTGCTACCAGTGATTACCTACGGCGCGATGCTGTAGTTGATGACCTTGGATGGGTACCCTTCAGTATATAACAGGTTGCAGCTGTTCGGCATTGGCAGAGGTGTGCGTTGATGGGCAGATCTCGTTTAAACAGACAAATATTCACGTTGGCAGACACATGTGCTTCATCAGAGATGAAGAGAATGTGAGAACTTGAATTTTAAAGTTCACAAGTTATTTAGAGAATGCACATGCAAAATACATCAACCTTTATTGCTGTGTGTCTGTTTACTTGAGTCCCCAAGATGACGTCAAAGTCAGCACCATTGTCAGCAATTACTACTTGGCACGGTCTCGGCACAGATTGGATAAATATACGAAGTCGCTCTTGCGGAATTATCCCCCACTCTTCCTGCAATGCAATGGCCAGTTGTGGAAGTTTCTGAGGCGTGCTTTGACGTTGACTTACACGTCGATCGAGTTTATCCCATGGGTGTTCTATCGGGTTTAGATCTGGTGATCGGGAAGGTCATGACTAGACATTGACGTTAGAATCGGCAAGGTGGCGGACCGTGACGCTTGCTGTATATTATGCTTGTCCATAATCGGAAGCATGTGACGTGCAAGGACTGAGGTTGGTGTACCGATTTGCTGTCAAGTCCCCTGAACCACCACTGAAACAGACCTTTGTGTGCTGGATGTCTCACCCCACACCATGACACTCACTCCACCGAATCTGTCGACCTGTCGACTGACTGACTGTCTGAGTTTAGTTTTACGCCGCTTTTAGCAATATTCCAGCAATATCACGGCGGGGGACACCAGAAATGGGCTTCACACATTGTGGCCATGTGGGGAATCGAACCCGAGTCTTCGGCGCGACGAGTCAACGCTTTAACGCTTTAACCACTAGGCTACCCCACCGCCCCTGTCGAATGCAATTAGGGGCAATATGTTCATTTCACCGACGTTAAAACTGAACCAGACTCGCCTCCAGTTTCTAAGGTTCCAGTTCCGGGCTCTACGACACCAGCGCAAGCGATTGCGCCGATGGAAGTCTTTCAAAACAGGGCAAGAACTGGCCTTCCCCACTTCACACAATCGATTCCTGACAGTTTGATCGGAAATTCTTCTCAAACCGGCTGTGGCAAGACGATGACGCAAGTAAGCAGCCCGGATGTAGCCGTCCTGGGTGATAACTCTTGGACGGCCGCTTCTCGGGTGATCTTGGGTGGAATTGGTCTGCAGGAAACGATCCCAGAGCAAGATATGGTGCTAAGATGAACGTTGAAATGTCGGACAACTTCAGACTGCGACTCCCCAGCTTAAAGGCGGCCTATGGCGATGTTTCAATTGCGGCACTCAGTCGTGGCATGATGATTTCCTCTTTTCCAGGCAAAATGGAATGACCATATTAAACACAACGTTTGCCTGTTATTCGATACCGCATGCTTTTCCGCTTGCATTATGTTTTGCATGTTTTCTTGGTGACGTTTTGGCGAAGAATAGTTCTTCAAACGCTTCTAAAACAAGGGGAAAAGTGAAAATTGCCGCGTTTTGGCGCTGAAGCAGTCTACAATCACACACAGATGACGTTGGGGAAAGAAATAGTATATTTGTATTGTTTTTGCCGCAGCTACATGAGTCCAATATTCTCAAAATCACCTATGCATTTCTTTTTTTGAAGAGTGTATGGGACTTTTTAAAAGTGAGTATTCTACCGAACGATATGTAATCTCGAATATACCAGGAAACTACAGAAATGCTTTTGCAAAATTTAGATGTGGGGTATCACCAATCAGACTTGAAACATGACAATATGAAAATCTCGTAGTTAAAGGTAAGACTTTCTTATGTGCCAAAATATTTGTGTTGAAAATGAGGTACATGTAATTCTAAAGTGTCCCATATATGATGGCCTGAGGAGGACCCTTTTTAATTGAAGCCCCTAACGTATGCAATACGTTTGAGTGAGTGAGTGAGTGACTGGGTTTCGTTTTACGCCGCACTCAGCAATATTCCAGCTATATGGCGGCGGTCTGTAAATATCGAGTCTGGACCAGACAATCCAGTGATCAAAAGCATGAGCATCGATCTGCGCAATTGGGGACCGATGACAACAATACGTTTGATATGTTGTCAGATACAGGGAGGTGTTCAATGGTTTTTTTAAAAATGATCTGTTCTTATTGTGTGCCAAAACCTGTTTTAGTGTTCTTCAACGACGGAAGTGGTCTTATACAAATGCTATGCCGCTTATAACTTCTTACATCTTAACAGTATTATATTCGTCTTTTATCCGAATATATATGTTTGTGTACGTCTCTCATAATTCCTACTGGAATGAATGGCTTGTGCGTTCCCTTTTATACATTGTATACATCATCTGTAAATATTATATGCTCAAGGCGAGACTCAAATACACAGTCTGTCTGTCTTTCTGTTCATGCCATCGTATCCCAGTTGCGTAGATCCATGCTGATGACGAGTCCAGATTCGATTATTTTCAGACAGCCGCCAAAGAACTGGAATAATGCCGAGTGTTAAACACAAAACAAACAAACAAACATTTTTTTGTTATACCAAGCGTTGTCACAACACTATGGTCATCTTAAATATGCAATCGTTCAAAAGACTCACTGTCAAGAACTGGTCATTCACGGGCAGTTTCTATTTTCAGAAAAAGTATTTATTTTTAACAGAGATATGTGAAACTACAATTCTCACGGGGCATACCTACTTACACAAGGACGCGAACACATGGAAGCATAAATGTCTTAAACATAAGCCTAAATTATTCATGCTTGTAGAAGTGCAAGACAGTCTTAAATTATAGTTTTGAGGTCATATATTCGAAATATGATATTGAAGAACAATGAAGTTAACTATGTACATTCGTGGCCATCATTTTAACTGTGTCACGCTGAATTTCCATCCTGGACACTAGATGCCCCGTTATGTGGCGTATCTGTGAGGGAATATGTGTAGTACTAAGGTGGACATATTTCTGATGGTGTTCATGAATGGTTTGAGGGGCGGGGGTAACGTAGTGGTTAAAGCGTTCGCACGTCATCGATTCCCCACATGGGTACAATGTGTGAAGCCCATTTCTGGTGTCTCCCGCCGTGATATTGGTGGCATATTGCTAAAAGCGGCGTAAAATCTAAAACTGTTGAACTGTGAAACTATCAACTGTTATAATATATACTTTATGAATGACGTAACTTCGAAGAGTTAACTAAGGGAGCTGTGTGACGTGTTTTTATGTGGTTGTTTTTCTTAAAAAACGATCTTTAATTTAACGTACCTTGTGCAACAAATTGATATCTATTAATATGTTATTTATATTTTTTTATTTACATGTACATGTATTTATAAATAATAAAAGATTTTCGTTCCTCTCAATACGGGCTGGGATAATAAGAATGTACGTGTGTACGTGCGTTTGCGTGTGAGTTCAAAAAGGAGAGCGTATCTTGCTACACAGGTTGGCACAGCCTTGCATGTCTCAACAGGTAAGACATAAGCTTCCGAAAATAGCAGCGGAAGCAAGCAGCTTGCACTTACAATAGAGCTCCAATGATTACTACAGTCCCTATCGCCCATGACCCATTTATACATTGTCCGATAACACTGGCGAATTCTTATAGAAACACCCTGCTTTAGTGAAATCATTGGTTGATATCTGTGTTTGCTCGAGGGTTCTCGTTACACGCCGTGATCACTGACAGTCGCGCATTGCGAAACTTCAACGTTTCCTGTCGGCTAAGTTGACCTAGAACCTGCGGCTTGTTTAAACACGAAGGTAGGCTGTTTGAGACTATCAGTGTTCGTGATAAGCCGACAGGTTGAATGGTATATAACGTGTATGCTGTAGTGGGGTAATCAGTTATAACTGGAGGACTGTGGGCTGGCTGTATCTCCTCACAACATGTCAAGTGTCAGTAGTCGACTGGCCGGGTATGTTGTATTGGTCTGCTCGGTCGCTGTAGCAACTCTCCCGGGTAAGTACACTAGATTTAAAGGGGCGCTGATCCAGGGCGTTTATTGTTTCCCGCCAACAATCTTATTACGCCAGGTGGTCAGTCCCTGCTCTCTCGACTGTGACGCATACGGGGACTTGGCAGCTGTCCACCTTGGCAGAATTTCTTCAACCTAAACAATAGGGCAATAAGAACGGTGGATGCCCATCAGATGCCTTTGTTTGAAAATATCCCGGTAGTTCTTGTCTGATTGTAATGAAATGCACATTATAAGACAAAAATACCTAGACGTACATTGACTTAGGTATTCTTTCTCAAACCTAACATGTTGTATCCCTAGCAGATGAAGTAAACCTTCAAACTGTGTTCATCTCTTATCATAATAATGAAGATGGAAATATTAATGAGTTAAAAAAGCTTTCATCTTTATTGATAAATGTAAGGATATGCAAGTTATACTTATAGTACAAATTGCGCTTGCGGATGGCGCAGCAGAGATCGCAACCCAATCAAGAATTCTGGGATATCAGTCGCGGGGAAAAACAATAGCAAAAGCAACAGCTAGTCATTGGGATTTGCCCGGGATCAGCGCCCCTTTAATCAGTCTTTCAGTTGACAGGGGTTTTGGGAGATCTACATGTGGTATCTGTATGAGTGAGTGAGTAAGTGAGTTTAAATTTAACGCCACAACCGCAATGATTCAGCCACATCGTGATGAGAATTTGAACATGAATATTCAATATTTGGATTATGAAATCTGTCAGCGATCGACAGTACAACTAGGTGATAGCGTATAAAAGAATAGATAAGTAAACAACAACACATTGTAAAAGTGGGCTATTGATCGCCAGCAACTGAAGGTAGATCACCATACTAGGTGCCAATGGAGAGGGGGAGGAGGGTAGCCTAGAGGTTAAAGCGTTGGCTCGTCACGCCGAAGACCTGAGTTCGATTTCTGGTGTCCCCCGTCGTGATATTGCTGGAATATTGATAAAAAAGCAGCGTAAAGCTACACTCAGCGCAGTGCCTTTGCTCCCTGCATACCTTAGCTGGGGTATCTATATGAGCAGGACATGGTTCGAGGACTATGAAAGGAGGACATGGTTTGAGAACCATGACGGGACCTGAAATAGAACGACAGGACGACTGACATGGGCATGGTGACGACAGGACGCGCTGTGAGGACTGTAACGGCAATGCATGTGACCAGTTTGGTGACGGCAGGACATGTTACGGGTACTGTAACGTCAAGATTTGCTACGGGGACTGTGATGACAAGACGTGAAGGGTCTGTAACCAGAATACATGTTACGGGGACTGTAACAAGAGGTGACGGGGGCTGTAACGACAACACATGTTACGGGGACTGTAACGGAAGACATGTCGGAGGCTGTAACGAGAAGGCATGTTACGGGGTCTGTAACGTCAAGACTTGCTACGGGGGCTGTAGCGAGAAGACAAGATACGGGGACTGTAACGACAAGTTTGGTTTGCTGTTTAACGCGGCATTATGCAATATTCCAGCAATATGGCAGTGGTCTGTAGATAATTGAGTCTGGGACTAGACAATCCAGCATCATGACCATATATCTACGCAATTTGGCTACTATGGCATGTGTCAACCAACTCATGCGAGCCTGACCACCTGATTCAGGTAGTCGCCTCTTATGACAAACATGCGTTGCTGATGTCCAACTAACGAGGGGCGTTCATTAAAGATTTCCCCTGACCCACTTCTGGTTGTCACATTTGGCTGAAACTTCATGTGAGTAATGACACATATGTCTATGTGTCATGTTGAAATTATTGGTACTGTAACGTCAAGACTTGCTACGGGGACTGTAGTGACAAGACGTGACGGGGCTGTAACGAGAACACATGTTACGGGGGCTGTAACGGAAGACATGACAGGGGCTGTAACGGAAGACATGACGGGAACTGTAACGGAAGACATGACGGGACTGCAGCGAGAAGACATGTTACGGGGACTGTAACGGAAGGCATGACGGGGGCTGTAACGAGAAGACATGTTACGGGGACTCCAACGGAAGACATGACGGGGGCTGTAACGGAAGACATGACGGGGGCTGTAACGGAAGACATGACGGGGACTGTAGCGAGAAGACATGTTACGGGGACTGTAACGGAAGACATGACGGGGACTGTAACGAGAAGACATGTTACGGGTCTGTAACGAGAAGACATGACGGGGGCTGTTACGAGAAGACATGTTACGGGGCTGTAACGGAAGGCATGACGGGGGCTGTAACGAGAAGACATGTTATGGGACTGTAACGGAAGACATGACGGGACTGTAACGAGAAGACATGTTACGGGGACTGTAACGGAAGACATGACGGGGGCTGTAACGAGAACACATGTTACACATGTGAGTAATGACACATATGTCTATGTGTCATGTTGAAATTATTGGTACTGTAACGTCAAGACTTGCTACGGGGACTGTAGTGACAAGACGAGACGGGGCTGTAACGAGAACACATGTTAGGGGGACTCCAACGGAAGACATGACGGGGGCTGTAACGGAAGACATGACGGGGACTGTAGCGAGAAGACATGTTACGGGGGCTGTAACGTCAAGACTTGCTTCGGGGGCTGTAAGTTTGGTTTGCTGTTTAACGCCACATTATGCAATAGTCCAGCTATATGGCGGCGGTCTGTAAATAGTTGAGTCTGGACAAGACAATCCAGTGATCAGCATCATGACCATATATCTACGCAATTTGGATACTATGGCATGTGTCAACCAACTCATGCGAGCCTGACCACCTGATTCAGGTAGTCGCCTCTTACGACAAACATGGATTGCTGATGTCCAACTTAACTCAGATCTTCACAAAATTTCAACATTTAGATGACATTGTAACAGTCTTTAAATAGATTTGTAGTGTAAATCAAGTTGCTTTGCTTCTGAAATAATTTCCATTCTGAAATAGGCTTAATCATGTTTGGTTGCCTGTTGTTCTGACATCGAACGTATATAATTCTGATAGAATAGTTTTTCTGACATCGAACGTATATAATTCTGATAGAATAGTTTTTCTGACATCGAACGTGTATAATTCTAGTGAGGGAGTTAAGATTTTAAGTCACATCATAAAATTATAATACATTAGTTGTTCTGATATCGAACGTATATAATTCGAGTGAGAGAGTTAAGATTTTAAGTCATATTAATTCTGATATCCAACATATATAATTCTAGAGAGGGTTAAGATTTTAAGTCACATTATATAATTCTAGTAGATTAGTTGTTCTGATATCCAACATATATAATTCTAGTAATTTATTATGATGAGGTCGAACGTATTATAAGTCATATAATTCCAGTAGATTAGTTGTTCTGATATCGAACATATATAATTCTATAATTTATTATGTGAGTGAGCCTGTTCTGATATCGAACGTATATAAGTCTATAATTTATTATGTGAGTGAGCCTGTTCTGATATCGAACATATATAATTCTATAATTTATTATGTGAGTGAGCCTGTTCTGATATCGAACGTATATAAGTCTATAATTTATTATGTGAGTGAGCCTGTTCTGATATCGAACATATATAATTCTATAATTTATTATGTGAGTGAGCCTGTTCTGATATCGAACGTATATAAGTCTATAATTTATTATGTGAGTGAGCCTGTTCTGATATCGAACTTATATAATTCTATAATTTATTATGTGAGTGAGCCTGTTCTGATATCGAACATATATAAGTCTATAATTTATTATGTGAGTGAGCCTGTTCTGATATCGAACATATATAATTTAATATGTGAGTGAGCCTGTTCTGATATCGAACATATATAATAATCGATTATGTGAGAGAGCCTGTTCTGATATCGAACATAGATTTTTAAGTCACATTATATAATTCTAGTAGATTAGTTGTTCTGATATCGAACATATATAATTCTAGTGAGGGTTAAGATTTTAAGTCACATTATATCATTCCAGTAGATTAGTTGTTCTGATATCGAACATATATAATTCTATAATTTATTATGTGAGTGAGCCTGTTCTGATATCGAACATATATAATTCTATATGTAAGTGAGCCTGTTCTGATATCGAACGTATATAAGTCTATAATTTATTATGTAAGTGAGCCTGTTCTGATATCGAACGTATATAATTCTAGCGAGAGAGTTAAGATTTTAAGTCACATTATATCATTCTAGTATATAAGTTGTTCTGATATCGAACGTATATAATTCTAGTGAGTGAATTCAGATTTTAAGTCACGTTATATAACTCTAGTAGATTAGTTGTTCTGCTATCGAACGTACAATGTATATAATTCTAGTAAGAGAAATAAGATTTTAAGTCACATTATATGATTCTAGTTGATAAGTTGTTCTGATATCGAACGTATATAACTCTAGTGGGTGACTTAAGACTTTCAGTCACATTATATTATTCTAGTAGATTAGTTGTTCTGATATCGAACGTATATAATTCTAGTGAGTGAATTCAGATTTTAAGTCACGTTATACAACTCTAGTAGATTAGTTGTTCTGCTATCGAACGTATATAATTCTATATGTAAGTGAGCCTGTTCTGATATCGAACGTATATAATTCTAGTGAGTGAATTAAGACTTTAAGTCACATTATATAATTCTAGTAGATTAGTTGTTCTGATATCGAACTTAAGTAATTCTAGTGAGTGAGTTAAGATTTTAAGTCACATTATATAATTCTAGTTGTCTACATATAAGATTAGTTGTTCTGATATCGAACGTATATAATTCGAGTGAGAGAGTTAAAATTTTAAGTCACATTATATAATTCTAGTAGATTAGTTGTTCCGATATCGAACGTATATAATTCGAGTGAGAGAGTTAAGAGTTTATGTCACATATATTATATAATTATAGCAGATGAGTTATTCTGATATCGAACGTATATAATTCTAATAGTGTAATGTCTGCTATTGTCCTTTTTATCGACGCGTAGACTATCTATAAATCATATGCAAGGTTTTTATCGAATGTTATTCGATATCTGATTTATACTGTTTTTTCAACCATTCTCAGTTAGGTGTGTGAGTGAGTGATGTTTTACGCAGCTTTTAGCAATATTCAACCAACGTCACGCCAGCATTAGGCGTCAGACATAATGATATAATGAGATGAAATTGTATGATATGTTATGATTCTTCAATTTAGATGTGTTATAGGGATTATCACGGGTCTATAGTCAGACTGTTAACTTTTTGCGGTATTTTAGAAAAAAATGTTTTTATTCTTACATTCAAATCAAAATGGGTAGTGGATTTCTATTACACTGCCCACTGCGAACAAAACACACACTTTGTGAAATAGACATTTAGGCTTTTCGAGTTTTTAAGGGATTATTTTAGGATATGACAAAGGGGTGCTGTGTTCACAACATCAAATCATTTCTGGCACACAGTTACTCAGGCCTAAGACCAGTGAGTGAGTTGGGCTTTACACCGCTTTTAGCAGTAGACCAGCAATATCACCAGAAATGGACTTCACACATTGTACCCCATAGGGAAGTGAATCCAGTTCTTCGGCGTGAAGACCGAAAGCTTTAACCACTAGGCTACCCAGGCTTAAGACGAACTGTCTCTGTTAAACGAACCTCCGTTTCTTAACCAAATACCTAGTTTAACATACATATATCTCGCATTCAGGTGACAACGGCGTTTATACACGCGTTCTTTGCATGTGTCAGATCCAAGATAAAGAAGTTTCGACGTAACAGGAAGTAAGGAAACCTCAGGTCGAAGTAGTGTTGTTCGGAGGGTACTAATTGCTTCCACTGTTCATTGTTTTCCTCCTCAGCTAATCGATACCTAAGTTTATTTGATCCCAATTCGATAATAATGATGTCCATCATTCTTGGGTTCTCAGCGGTCGATCGATCAGTCAATACACAATTGACGTTACTGTAATAACTAATTGTAAGTAATTGTAACAATTGCAATACGTTGGATGAAAATATGCATTGCTTTTGTCTATGGACACTAGAAATCAGTATTAACTAATTGTAAGCAAGTTGAGGACCCAGAAGCGATTGATTTTTGTCCAGCCTGTGCCAGACAAAATAGATAAAATAAATAATAATCACATCTGCAAATCTGCAAATTAATACGTTTACTATGTTGTTTGGTTTTCTTGACCCGGTAATTGTGTATTCTCATTTAAGTGGTCGTTATCAATAACATCCTTACGCTAATATATACATATGTACTGGGTAACATTTCATAGAAGCTATAGTAAACGATTTACCCGATTTAGATCTCTATATAAAGAGTGACAAAAATGTTGTATAACAAGAGGCGTGACATCAACATTCCTGGAGTGAGCAGCTCCAGCCTCAGGTGTTTACATTTCTCTTTGCTTCTATTACAAACAGCGTCATATGAACGTTGTTTGGTCAGATTTTATGGATGTCAACTTCTTTATTGTAAATAACACGACGTTTCGGAATGTGTCCTCGCTCCTTCATCACAATAAAGAAGCCGACATCCGTAAATCTTGCTATTCTTGTGATGAAGATGTGATCAAGAAACGTGGTGTTATTCACAATAAAGAAGTTGACATCCATAAATCTTGCTTTTCTTATGCATTCCACTTCTAAATTACCTTCAAAGATTTGTTTGGTCGAGGTTAAACATTTTGTGGAGGACATGTCAACGTTGTACGTTTTTCAGATTGTATAAGATTGAATACAACGTGCACCTACCAAATAAAAGTGTATAACAATAGACCTCGTTAATACGAACACTTTGGTTTTTAAAAAAACCCGTTCGGATAGTGAAACGTTCGTACTGCTGAAACCACAGTATATGCACCGAGTTACTTCCCCTTGATACAACTACAACTTAAATAAAATTATTTTTGAATGAAAATGCAAGCTTACATTTATAACGTCCAGATAAACCACGAAAGAAGCAAAAACTATGGCGATTTTTTTCCATTTGTGACATGTCATAACATGCCCGTGCCTTTTTCTTTTATATTTTCATTTTTTACGTCATCAGAAAATTATTATAAAAAGATTTCTTAAATAATATGTATGGTCGCCTATTTCCCGATATCTGTGGCTTTCCGCTCGGTAACATGACATAACAACGGCAAATACCTGCGTTTTCGAAGCATCGCATGAATAACATGGGAGGCGAATCCATAGGCGCTTGACTCTGATATGTTTATAAGTATGACCTATATATATAGGTCATACTTATAAACATATCAGAGTCAAGCGCCTATGGGCGAATCGTTTGATGTCGGGTATCGTTCGAAAGCTCTGAACATCAACAACATCACTGAACCCTTGCCGAGAGTATTTTCACAGTTGTAAGAAGCGATTTTATTGGATACAAATTGGTTTCTAATGACGCTTTTTCCACTACAGTCTGCTATAAGGTTCGTGATTGGTCAAAATCAGACACGTGACCTAAGGCAGCCAATCATATTACGGAAATGGATACCGTCCTCGTCCTCTTTGACAATGTTATTGTGGACCCGCTGCCGAAGCATGTGTCCGAGTCGCTAAGCCGCTAAACAAACAACGTGTCATTTTGGGTGGGCCAGTCAGCAGCGCGGTCAACTTCAATCGTTCGGATTAACGCAGCTGTTTACAACGTAATTAGTCCAATCCGTTCCGACTGACCAGCGTTCGGAGGCGGAAACTGAATCATCGGATTAACGAGGTGTCAATTATATACAATATATAGGGAGATGATTTGGTGCCCAGTGAGTAGCGTTCGGAAGTCGGTGGATTCGGATTAACGAGGACCGGATTAACGCGGCCTGACTGTATATCCATTCTTATGTCAAATGATAATTGTTAATTATCACACAAAAATACGTTTTGTTTGTTTGTTCTTTAACGTCACACTCAGCAATATTCCAGACCAGACAATCCGGTGATCAACAGCATTTGCATCGATCAACGCAAAAAGTTGATACGATGACACGTGTCAACCAAATCAGAGAGCCTGACCATCCGATCCCGTTAGTCGCCTCTTACGAAGAGCATGGGTTGCTGAAGACCAATTCTAACCCTGACCTGCACTAAGACATATAATCAGTATCGGTAAATGTGTGTGTGCGTGTGTGTGTGTGTGTGTGTGATTGTTTGTTTGTGTGTGTGTGTGTGTTGTGTTGCGTGTAGGGGTGGGAGGGAATTGGACGTCCTTCAAGGAAAACGCTTTTCTGAGGATTGTCCTCGTTTACAACAGTCCTAGCATATCCAACTTCATCCTAACGAAACCGTAGGATAACTCGAAGTAGTTACATTGCATCCACTGCATCTGCAGGTATACTAGCTACAGTCAGTGGCCAAAAGTCTGTTCGCAAAACATGTTACGTTGCCCATGTTTTGAGGGGTAGGTTGACTTTGAGAGCGTTTCGCGATGCTGATAAGCCACCAATCGTAATGTGATTTTGGGTACAAATTTCACAGGTCACAAAATATGTTTAGCACCGATAATATGCGATTATCTCCCTTGCTTTGTTTATATTTTTGTCGTCTGCTATCATGCCGCTTGTCAACCGAGAATTGACACCTGACCAAAGAAATTTAATTGTTGACTTGAAACAGCAAGGCCAATCAAGCTACAAAATTGCTGATTTGACAGGTATAAACCCAAGAACAATTCAGAAAATTTTAAAACGTTTTCGGGAGCGAGGTTCAGTTAAATCGTTGCCGAGAAGTGGGCGGCCCCGAAAATCGTCACCAAGAAGCGAACGACGGCTTTTCGTCTTGTGAAAAGAAATCGCCGGCAAACACTTGGGGATTTGACAGCAAAATATAACAATCAGGGACCGACTACTCTGTCTTCTCGCACTGTCAGATGAAGATTGTTCATTGAGGGGTACCGTAGACATGTGGTAAGCAAGAAAATCACAATTTCTCGTGTTAACAGAGAGAAGAGACTCCGATTTTGTCGGACAAAATTGCATTGGGGAAGAAATGAGTGGGATAATGTCATTTTCAGTGATGAGACACAAGTCCAGATCGGGATAGACAGAAAAGTTTATGTGTGGAGAAAGTCGCATGAGCGGTTACGACTTGACTGTTTGGGGGTTCGCACCGATCATGAACGAAATTCGAAGTTTTCAGTGATGTTTTGGGTGTGTGTGTCTTCGTATGGAGTGGGAACTTTAACTGTCGTTGATGGCAACATGAACACTGATAAGTACATTGCCATTCTTGATAACCACTTGTGGCCTGTAGTTGCCAGGCATTTTGTCAACCGCAATTGGATTTTCCAAGAAGACAATGCCCCTTGTCATGTGTCCATTCGAGCTAACCGTTGGAAACAGGAAAATCATATTCCGACTTTGCCGTGGCCCCCACAAAGTCCAGATCTCAATATCATTGAAAATGTATGGAAAACTGTTAAATATCAACTCAAAGCCAGATTAGGTGACATTAACTCCTGACAAGATCTCATCCGTGTGGTGAATGACATTTGGACTGGGCTTAGTCCCGTTTACATTCGTCGTCTATATGACAGTTTACCAAGACGACTCCGAGATGTCCTAAGAGCACAGGGTCATATCTCTAAATTCTGAAAATTTGAGGTGAGTACCTTTATTATTTACATAGATACGCGAATTTTAAAAGGGGACCCGACTCCGCTAGAAATAGCCGTGACGTCACCGGTGCGAACAGACTTTTGGCCACTGACTGTATGTTATATTCCCATTTCTTACTCTCGTTCTCTTTCACAACTGTTACAGCGCTGGCAAAATCAACACAATGTGACGCTCCTCTGGGTTTTGAGAATGGCAACATCACAGATGATCAAGTTTCTGCATCATCATCTCTCAATTCCACCTACGCAGCAAAGGCAGCAAGATTTAACATTGGAGGTAAGCAGTGTTTGTCTTGTATTATTACGTTTAAGCATTGAGTATGATATGTTGATAGCTGAATACATGAACCATTTCTCTAGCCCGAGAATAGTGCGAAATATTCATTGTGTTCTGTTCTTTGTGAGCTAAAAATCAATACACAGTTATGTCTTGCAATAAAGTCAAAGAAATATCACCAAATTCCAAATTGATAACTGCTTTTGTTTTCGAGATGTCATCAAAAGAATTTGACTGGGTTAGGGATCTTGCAATCATAATACCAAACTGTGAAACGAGGTCACCTACATGCATTAAATGGACATGCTAAGAAAGGAAACAAATCAAAATACAAGGAATACGTGGGGATGACTGAAATATATATTTAGTTGTTAAGAAATGAACTAAAATGTAATTTTTAGCAATGAGGTTGTTTTACGTCGCTTGAAGCAATATTCCAATAATATCATGGCAGGGGATACCAGATAAGGGGTTCTCACATGGTACTAATGTGGAGAATCGAACCTGGGTCTTCGGCGTGAACGCTTTACCCACTAGGCTACCCGGTTGACCATCGCTGCAATGCAAATAAAGCACAGAAGGTGACCTCGTGTCCTGAAGATGCAACAGTTGAAATTATGTCCACAAAAAAAGGTGTTTGCCGGTACAGAACAGTAAGAGCATATGGGTATACGGAAGGTTGACAAAAGGAGCTTAAGACCAGTTTTGGGTTAAACGTGTATGTATTCGAAACGGGCCAATAAACCAATAAAATCTAATCAAAACATTCAAATCGTGTCAAACACAAATGTGTCACTTTACAGAAGGATGGGTAGCCCAACAATCCAATGGCAAAGAGTACCTGCAGGTTGACCTGCTGACTCAGCATAACGTGACCAGCTACTCAGTCCAGGGCAGCAGGAATGGGTGGTACCCAGAGGCAGTGCTACTGTTCTACAGCCAGGATGGTCTTGACTGGGAGAGTTACGTCACCAGCAATGGGACACAGAGTCTGCCAGGGACACCAAACGCCTGGGATGTTGTCACAGTGGACTTAAATCCAGCTGTACAGGTTTGTTTGTTGTTTTGTTTATTTTTTTGTTTAACACCCTAATCAGCAATATTCCAGCTACATTGCGGCGGCCTGTAAAATAGTCTAGTCTGGACTAGACAATCCAGTGATCAACAACATGAGCATCGATCTACGCAAGTGGGATAAGATGACACATATCAACCAGGTCAGCAAGCCTTACCACCCGATCCCGTTGGTCGCCTCTTACGACAATCATGGGTTGCTGAAGACCAATTCTAACCCGATCGTTATTGGTCAGCTGTAGAGGTAGGAGTGATACATCCCATCCCCGAACTCGTTTTTTATAGTCAGTGATGATAGTTCCAGGTTTTTTTGACAACCATTATTGGCATGAGTATATTTGAAATTCGATTATGAACATGGACAATAACGGAATCTTTCTTCAGAAGAATATTTACATTTAAATCTGTTTAAGCCATTCGAGAGCATGTCTAGATTATAGCATATTTTCTAGATGACGAGACAAAATCTAAAACTGCCCGTTCTCACTGTAAATGTCAAGACTCTGGTGAGTTAATATCTTATATTTGTGACCCAATATTTTAGATTTGTGACTCAATTGCATTGTACTGGAAATCTTTATTGTCATTCATTGTAGTTTGCTCATTGTTTATTCAATATATATTATTGAATATTTTAGACTTGTCTGTGTTCTATTTGGCTGGTTCAAAACTCTGAAACCTTTTTACACGGCAACTTATTAACCGTAACATAGTCATGCTCAAGTATTGTGTTAACACCATGTACATCTTGAGTAAAAGGTGCTTTTAATCTGTCTTGGCAAAAGATAATGGGGGCAAATTGGTATAAACAAACAACTTGACAAATTGAAAGATCTTCCTATTTCTTCAACCAGTTGAACGTTATGTTATGTTCCCTCCCATTCAGTTGTTAGACGCTGCATTAATGAAATATCCACAACACAAATGCTCTCCAAAACGCATCGTCTGCTACAAGCAACCACCTTAGATTGTTCAGGGGAGATAATTCCAACACTACTTGCAAAATAACTGATCTCATTTAAAAAGACAATACACATATGTGTATATCTTAACAGAATATATTATAAAATCATAGCTATACAACAAAACAATAATTAAATGGATCAATAATGTATTCATCATGTAAATCATGTGTTAACTATTTTACAAATGGCAAAAAGTAATACTTTAAATGTACAAGGAAGATCATTTTGGTATTATTAGGTAGAACATTAAGTAACACATAACAAGGACATTTTAAAATATACTGTATATTGAATTGAATTGATCCAAACAAATATTACTGACATTGTGTACAAACATTTAAAACATTCTTAAGGAATATAAATTTGGTGGCCATCTCGGAATATTGTCATCACCAGGGGGCGCTACATGCTAGATGTAAATTACATGCAGCACTATGACGAAATTCCTTAATGAAATACTGAATATGTCAAGATAATTATGATATATTGAGCATAGACTGACATACCGGTAGTTAGAGGTTTCAAACTGGCTGCCATGTTGGAGTTTCTGTCACCAAGGGGCACTGTTGAGGTGAATCCATGTCCAGAAATGTTTAGAATTGTTCGATGTGTCAGTGTGACAAGTTTGGTGCTTTTAACCCAAATTCCACAATTTTGACAAAATCCTAGCCTTAACCGCCCAACTAATAAGAGAACAGACAGGAAAGCATACAGATCGGAATGGATGGAATGCGTTACGGAGATACACGATTATAGTTAGGGCTGGCTATCAATATAGATTGTGGAGATCGATAATCGTTAACTAAATATCCATCGATTACCGATAAATATCGGAGACTTAACATAAGTCCTAAATTTGTATATGGTGTGAGAAAATTTAAAGCTTTATCTATCGCAAAAGTTAATGTACGATATTAACAATAACACAATTTTCATATCGATAATCAAATGTTTCCTATCGACGATATTTCTGATTATCGATCACTGTAGACATAATCTACATTGTGTCAAGTCACCTGTTGGTTGGGCTTCTGCGTAATGTTTTTCATCCCCCACTTTATTTGATTCCCTATGTCCTGTTATTATGTCTTTGGGATATTGTACCTTTTTCAGGCCAGGTACTTAGCCTTTGTACCTCAGCACAATAACAGTAGCTATACAGGTCTACGACTGGAGTTGTATGGGTGTGAGGCACAACGACCAATTCCCGTCAGACACGCCCCTGTCTCCCAGGACATACAGGTAAGCAGGCACTATGAAGAATAGAAATGAATACAATTGTCATCAATGACAAAATAACAACTCATACTAATAAAAGATATATCTACATTTTTGTATCAAGAAGAAACTCAACACTTTTATCTAAATTTTGAAAACATTTATCTTGTTGAAAAATTCTTGACACAAAAGATGATTTTTGCCCCCATATATATATGGTCTGATCTACGTGAGATATTTAGCTAAGGCTTAATGGTTTAAGTTAATCTAAGGACATGCTCTCTAAGTCATATAAGTGAAGAAGTAACTAAGCACATGCTCATTAAATCATACAAGTGTTTTTGTCCACATTGTATAGCCTGTCTCGACTATCTAAGTGCTGCTAAAAATGTTCAGAGGTATCAAGAAACACATGTTTATCTTACAGCAGCATCTGCTTACACATCCGCATTTGCAGCAGCATCGACATTGATGTCTACAAAAACCAAGCGGAGGTGGGGTAGCCTAGTGGTTAAAGCGTTCTTTCGTCACGCCGAAGACCCGGGTTCGATTTCCCACATGGGTATATTGGGCGAAGCCAATTTCTGGTGTCCCCCGCCGTACAATTGCTGGTATATTGCTGAAAGCGGCGTAAAAACTCACTCACTCACAAAATCTAAATGTACGTCTGCATCAGCATCTAATTCTTCATCTTATACATCTGCATCAAAACCTCTACATCTATATCTGCATGAACACACACCATCTCATGATCCAATCAATATAGGGGAGCAGTGAGTGGTTACCCAGCCAGAGTCCATATGTCATCAACACTCTCATCAGGATTCGTCCAGGAGCATTCGTCAAAATACAACCCGGAGTCAAGGTTATATTCAATTCTTCAGACGCAGGATTCATCGTTCTTGGTAAGGATATACGGAGATGTCATCTTACATCTGATACCAACTTATCACAGGTGGTTTTCGTGACTTGTATTTAAAAAAAACCCAGTTCACCTTCAGTGATACCATCTTAGGTCTGTAACAATTCAACATGTTCTGGCTGAAAGTATCTACTGCTGTAAACCAGCGCTTGGTGTTCTGTGTCTCAGTGCTGTGATAATAAAAAGGCGGCAATCTGGGACGACAGAAAAACCTAGTGTTACCACTGAATACTACTTAGAATATTTCTGTTTCAGGTACATTGGAGGCCCGAGGTCTCAGTGGATTACCTGTGGTTTTCACAGCTTCAAATGCCTTCACAAACCTGACAAACATGTGGGCAGGCATTGAAGTTGTCAGTCAAGGTATGTATGGTCTAATGGTGGGGCGGTGGGATAGCCTTGTAGTTAAAGCGTTCACTCGTCACCCCGAAGACCCGGGTTCGATTCCCCACATGTGTACAATGTGTAAAGCCCTTGTCTGGTGTCCCACGATTTGATGTTGGTGGAATATTGCTACAAGCGGCGTAAATATAAATTCACTCACACAAACGCAGTGGTCTTTACATTCAGGGCATTAAAGAACCAGCCTCTACAAATGCCAACAGATGTTCTGTCTGTTTCCAGTTTGCCCAAAGGTTCCTATGGTGCTTGCCATCAGCAACTAATGGGTTCCTAGAATCCGAACATGACGCTACACGTGGTCACTGTGGTAACCATACAGAACTTTCAATTTGTATTATCACTCACTTTGGGTATTTCTAAATACAAAATTTTATTTTAATAGTTAATTGTGAAAGTTCCTCTGCATTTTGAGGTTCTATACATGGAAGTATTATTATGAATTCCTCCATTGCAAGATGACGTACATTATAATGTGTCCTTATGTGACCCTCTTTTTAACTTGCAGGAAATTTGTCTTTGGAATTCAGCCACATATATGGAGCGGATTTCGGCATCAAAGGAGCTCTTGGATCCATTACTATAAGACACTGCAACATCCACCACAACGGCAAAGGAATATACCTTGAGATGGGGGATACAGTCGAAGACAGAATTCAAATATCAGGAACCATCATATCAGACAACACCCAAGAGGGCATATACGGAAGTAATTGGCCTCAAAATCATTCCTTTATCGGTATGGAAGATAGTGACATCTTGCGTAATGGAAGGAGTGGTATAAGTTTTGGCATAGAAGCTGTGCTGTTTGCCAATAACTGTAGATTTTCTCATAATAAAGCTCATGGGATATACCACCATAATTATGTAGGCATGGGTGCGACCATAAAGAAGTGTATGTTTGAGAACAATCTTTACAGAGGATTTGTCATAAGTAATGCAAGATATAACAGACAACTAAACATTTCTTTTGATGAAACTCAATTCAAGGAGAATGGACAAGATGGCCTTAACATGTACATACAAGGTTCAGACTCGGACATGCACATTTCTATAACAAACTCTCACTTCACGAACAACAGTTGGTATGGTGTTGTGATTCAAGGAAACTTTTTAAGCACCCGACCCAAAATACTGCTGAAGAATAATACATTGGAGGGGAGCCAAACCACGAACTACAACCTGGTGTATATTCAAACAAGACGTTCTATACATGGAAGTATTATTATGACCGAAAATGCTTTTCAAACACGAAAAAGCATTCGCATACAAGGCAGACATTTTGTCGCATTTGATATTTCAAATAACATATTTACTGGAATCAAAGGAGACACCGGGATAGTTATAGAGGCAGAGGACACAATTATATTTGGTAATATCTTCACCAACTGTTCCACGACGTCGGTGATTCACACAAATAGAATCGGAGTACAGATCCACAACAATGTCTTCCAGAACCCACAGGCACTCTACGACCTGTTTGTTGATATGGATTATTCTGAGAACCAAAAACTGAATGCAATCCACAATTTTTGGGGAAGCAGTGACCGGTTCTTTGTTCGGTCCAGAATATGTGACTTTTATTGTGATGTCACAAAAATGAGGGTTGAAGTGGATCCATACTTTGTCTCAGAGATGCTCAGTGAACTGTCATCGCAGTTAGATTCGGACATTTTTGTTTTGAACAGTGAAAACGAGATTGGAGGAATGTTGAACAAGTCAGTCACTCTTCAACCCAACCAAGTACTGTATGTGAACAGAAGTGTGTATATTCCAGAAGGGACTGAGCTGACAATAAGCAAGAACACCACACTGGTGTTTCCATACAAGCAAGGGGTTTTGGTTAGAGGTTAGTTTTCAGATAAAATGTCCTATTTGTGAAATGAGGTGAAATTGGATTTAACTTCGTACTTGAGAATATTTCGCTCATATGACGATGTGCGGCTGCATGTACTAGCCAAGACTGAAGCTCGTTTTATAGTGCTAGCCACTGAGATACCATGCCGCAGTGAAGCATGAATACCCCACTCAGACAGATTATACTGACTCCGAGCCGACCAGTCCTTGTTGTACCTTAATGCCGAGCGACAGGCAGGAACCAACATGTACCATATTTTAACGTCTTTTGGTATGACGCGGTCGGAGATCGAACCTGCGATCTTCCGCTCTCCACGCGGATGCTCTAACCACTACACCACGGAGGCGGTATTTGTGAAATGAACAAGTTTTTAATCTGTTCCGCTGTCATCATTTTACCAGATGTAACTAACCTTTACCAAGTACATATTTTGACTATAACTAGTTAATTTAATTTAGATCCATTCAATTTAGATATGATTTATGTTCTCATGTGTATGTCTTGCACAGGCTGTTTGGCTGATAATTTCAGGAATATTAACAATACAAGGCGAGGCAGATGCCAACGTTGAACTAAGGAGTGATGGTTCCCCCAGTAATCAGCGATGGGCTGGCATCATATTCAATGCTACAGGTGAGAGCTTTCTGTCCTGATACAAGAACAGGTAAACCCCACATTCCTTTGTTAAATCGTAACATTGCATAAACGTAATTTCTGTCCTGTTAAAACTGAAAACTGCAACCTTTATAAAAACACATATCGGAGGCGTTGTGGATAATCTAATAGAACCGTCCATATTTCCGACACAATGGTAACAATATAGCTTTCATACATATATTGTCAATATTAAAGTTATCAACATCATATGTAAAGATTAAACAAATGATGAATAAAGAAACATAAAATGACTAATCTCTCAATAAGAGTTTTGTATGTTCCAGGATCTTCACTGCAACACACCATATTGAAACATGCGGAGACAGGAATACGTTTATCCATCAATGATTCTGGTGAAATTAGAGCTTCTGATTCCATCATTTCCCAGTGCACAACAAGCATAGCTGGGCAGCTGTGGTCTGAAGTCTCCTTGTCCCTTGAAAGAGTGAAAGTAAATGAAACCAGCAGGTTCATTGTTCTGGACGTGCTTAGTTCACACCCAGTGTCATTGAACATCAATGAGTCCGAAATTGAATGTTCCTCTGGAACACGTATTCAAACGAATCGTAATGAAGTCAATTTTCATGTAAGAATGAGCTCTACAAAACTGTACTCCAGGTCTACAGGATTTTACATGCGGTCATGTAATTCATATATTACTATAAACGCACAGGATTCTGATTTTAAGAGTGCATATAGTTCTGATAGTTTTGACATCGTTGGAGGAGTATTAAACATAACATTCAGGGGAGTGTCAGTTATTGGAAATAGGGGAGCCACGATTTTCAGAACATGTACCGGAAGTGGTCAATTTCTTGCAGCAGGAGCCATAGATATTCAAGATTCGATCTTTGATGTGCAGTCTGTAGTTCCACTGGACGTTGAAAGCGGACAGGATGCAAGGCATGATGTCCTACTTATAAATAATACATTCCGCATACAAAATCAGAATTATGAAGGTGTTAAGGCGCTTATCGGGAGGGACAGCCTTCCTTGGAGTATGACCATACATGACAACAGGTTTGAAAATTGTGGATTAAAAATTGAAGGTAGCGCTCTAAATACATCAATAGATGGTAACACGTTTCTGACTGAAAGGTCAGCTATGGACATTAATGTTCAAACGCCAGAAGGTGGTAGCACAAGAATTAGTCAAAATCGTGTACAGGGTGGCGATGTAAAGGTGAAATCTGAAGGAGACAGGGAAAGGTTATATCTAACAAACAACACCTTCAACTTGAGTACTATCATCCTAATGAGCCCCAATGTAACTTTGAATCAGAACACTTTCCTTGCTGGCCAGGACTATGATATCAAATTTGAAGGCAGTGGTTATGCAGACAAAGAAATTAACTCCACATACAACTATTGGGGTACCACTGATGCCAAGGACATAGCATCGCGAGTGTATGATTCATCATATGACCCTTCGCTTCCAACAATCACGTTTGTACCTTTCTATGGATTCCCAAACTTAACCGATCCCCGGTCTCCGCGCCCTGGTTTTATTTCTGCTGATGGTACACTTGGTGGAAACGTTGGAGGGACTGTTACCCTTACACCCGAGGAAAGCCCGTACACTGTGGCTGAAAACATCGTGGTCGGAAAACTGGAGACACTTATAATTGAGGCGGGAGTGTCTTTGCGGTTTGAGAAGGGATCTGGCATCTTTGTAGAAGGTAATTACTATATTTATAACTCCTTTGTAGTTGTCTTTAACATGGTGGTTCAATTGTTCAAATCTAAGGCTCTTTATAACAATTGTGGTCTAATCCTGTGATTTCGTTCACTGACAGGCACCTTGCCTTCTCCACTAATCTCTTACTTTTGATGTGAATATCATCTTTTCACTCATTTTCCACCATTGCTTCAGAAGCATATTGTTTATCCTGCTTAGTGTTGTTTTGATACTGTCATATTCCACTGCTGCTTGGTGCCTATGTTTTGATACTGTCATATTCCACTGCTGCTTCACTAAGATATTGCCATATTCCACTGTTTCACTAAGGTATCTGTTTTGATAGTGTCATATTCCACTGCTGTTTCACTAAGATATTGCCTATCCCACTGCTGCTTCACTAAGATATCTGTTTTGATAGTGTCATATTCCACTGCTGCTTCACTAAGATATTGCCTATCCCGCTAGGTATCTGTTTTGATAGTGTCATATTCCACTGCTGTTTGACTAAGATATTGCCTATCCCACTTGGTATCTGTTTTGATAGTGTCATATTCCACTGCTGCTTCACTAAGATATTGCCTATCCCACTTGGTATCTGTTTTGATAGTGTCATATTCCACTGCTGCTTGACTAAGATATTGCCTATCCCGCTAGGTATCTGTTTTGATAGTGTCATATTCCACTGCTGCTTCACTAAGATATTGCCTATCCCACTTGGTATCTGTTTTGATAGTGTCATATTCCACTGCTGCTTGACTAAGATATTGCCTATCCCACTGCTGGTTCTGTTGCCTTCTTGGTATCTGTTTTGATAGTGTTATTCTGTTTTGATAAGATATTGTCCCGCTATATCTGTTTTGATAGTCATATTCCACTGCTGCTTCACTAAGATATTGCCTATCCCTACTTGGTATCTGTTTTGATAGTGTCATATTCCACTGCTGCTTCACTAAGATATTGCCTATCCCGCTAGGTATCTGTTTTGATAGTGTCATATTCCACTGCTGCTTCACTAAGATATTGCCTATCCCTCTTGGTATCTGTTTTGATAGTGTCATATCCACTCGCCTGGATATTGCCTATCCCGCTAGGTATCTGTTTTGATAGTGCCTATCCCACTGCTGCCTATCCCGCTAGGTATCTGTTTTGATAGTGTCATATTCCACTGCTGCTTCACTAAGATATTGCCTTCCCGCTTGGTATCTGTTTTGATAGTGTCATATTCCACTGCTGCTTGACTAAGATATTGCCTATCCCGCTAGGTATGTGTTTTGATACTGTCATATTCAACTGCTGCTTCACTTAGATGTTGCCTATCCCACTTGGTATCTGTTTCTGCTGTCGTAGTCCACTAAAGATATTGCCTATCCCACTTGGTATCTGTTTTGATAGTGTCATATTCCACTGCTGCTTCACTAAGATGATATCCCGCTTGGTTTCTGTTTTGATAGTGTCATATTCCACTGCTGCTTCACTAAGTTTGATAGTGTCATATTCCATTGCTGCTTCACTAAGATATTGCCTGTGATAGTGTCAGATTCCACGGCTGTCTCCCTACGATATTGCCTATCCCACTTGTTATCTGTTTTGATAATGGCACCCTGTCATGGTGCAAATCATGCAGGTCGTTGGCAATGGTGGTGACAGACAATGGTTGATACACGGTCGTGCACTGATTGGCTATTGATTAAATGTTTGTCACACATTTTTAAAGTCAAAAGTGCCACCATTCGTGTTGAGAGGGTCTCACAGGCAATAGGTGGTTATTGAAGTTGTAGACAACCGTTTGACAACCCTGAACATGACTTCTTTCGCTGATATCCTTGTAAACATTCAAGTTGTTTGAGCAAGAGGAAGCCTTAAAACCCATGTCATCAGATTGCGATTAATGATTGCGATTACTAACGTACATAATATCTGAGCTTGTTTTCGTTTTATTCAGTGTAGGATTATGTTACCTGATTGTACAAAATCTTATTATATTCAGGTGCACTTATTGTTCGCGGCAACAAGAGTCATCCTGTGAAGGCCGAGCCAATTACTCCTGGAGTGAAATGGTCAGGAGTAAGATTACTAGCCAATCGTTGTAAGTGAAGAATTTCACTATTATATTTTGAGAATTTGACTGTAGATAGCAAAACCCCATCCTCTGTAAGTAACAAACATCACGGGTAGTAATTAAGGTGAAATCTTGTGATGTAAATATACATATTCGATTATTATGACATTACAAGAACGATTATTTTTAGATTATTATAAATAAACGATCAGATATACATTCGCATAAAGCGGAAAAGAAACGTTTAACTTGACACTCAATTTTTTCTTTATTAATTATATTCATTACTCATCCTTGATAAATAAAATACTTTTTTACCATCTTTATTTCCACAGTTTACATAGTACATGTAGAATACATTCACATGAGTATATAATAAAATACATGACAATATATTTTGAAAGTACCCAGAGTGTTTCCTTTGTTCTAAATTCAACAGACCGGCGGCCGTCTTCCATTGCTAACACCACTGTTCGACTTGTCGGAGGGGTGAAAAAATATGAGGGCCGTCTTGAAGTCAACATTAATGGAACTTGGGGGACCGTCTGTGATTATGCTTTTGACAAAAATGATGCCGAAGTCGCTTGCCTAATGCTTGGATATAAGTGAGTGTGTTTTAATAAGTTCATTTCATTACTATATTATTTTTGTCAGAAGTTGTTTAGCACGACTGTCAATAATGTTCCAGCTATACCAGAATATGCAATCGACTCCAGTTCAGGTAATAACCAGGTGAAAGCACGAGAAAAGATCCACCAGTGGTAAAATAAACAAAGTAAACAAAGTAACAGGTCCACATATGATGAACTATAGTTTTCTTCCCTTAGCTCATACGTGTGCGTGGGTTGGATAAATGAATATACGTCTGTATCTGTCTGCAGCTACACCGTAGCAGAGGTTGTTCCTTCTCCAAATGACTTTGGTGGAGGTTCAGGTCCAATACACCTTGGCAACCTGAAATGTACAGGCAAAGAGGAAACGCTGATGGAATGTGAAAGATCCATGTTTTACTGTAACCACAGAATGGATGTTGCAATACGATGTGGTCAGAAGCTACTGCCTACTCCTCAAGGTGCGTGTTCGGTAACATTTTGTTCCAAGTTTAACAAGGTAGTGGGTTGGGAGGAGGGAGTTGAGTGAGAAACTTTAGTTTCACGCCGCTTTTAGCAATATTCCAGCAACATCACGGCGGGGGACACCAGAAATGGGCTCCACATTGTACCCATGTGGGGAATCGAAGTTTCTTTAGTTTATCATAACCTTACGAATGTCGTAACACTAAGAACGCGTTATGGATCGGGGCACAGTATAAATATTTATTGTACCTTCATGTAAAATACTTTAATTTCATTTGGTCAATGACGCTTTAACAAGTTTCCGTGTCAGGGTCTCCTCACTGTGCAGGCATCTTTTGTTCATAACTGACTGACTGAGTTTGGTTTTACGCCGCTTTTAGCAATATTCCAGCAACATCACGGCGGGGGACACCAGAAATGGGCTTCACACATTGTACCCATGTGGGGACTCGAACTCGGGTCTTCGGCATGGCGATCCAACGCTTTAACCACTAGGCTACCCCACCGCCCTTTTCTTCATACAGGCAATAGTTATACAAAGTTTAGTTATACAAAGTTAATCAAACTTTTATTCTTCAATACAGTATCGTATTTAACAAACAGGCAATAGTGATAGCTAATAGAACTTTAACACAGTAACACACTCAACAATGGATTGGGAAGAGCTCTGTCATTACAATGTTGACCTTTTATTACAACTGAGAACGTTACTTTGTTTAAAGTGTTTACTCTGTAAAAAGTTCAGCTAAATCATGGGACGACCCCTTTCCTTAAAACAACATCACATAATCCTAATCCTCTGCAGGCTGTCTGCACAGTGAGGATAAACCTCCGTGTCACCCCTCCCAGGAAGGTGACCGCTGGAAAAGATATTCCATGTTGCCACAGTAACGGCCAAACTCTCCGCCGAGAAGCCGTATCGCTAACAATCGTATGACGTCATAATATGATGCATGCAGTGCACGAAGTTCGAAAAACGACCGGGCCAAAACGGACACTTCCCATACCCTTTAACATTCCTTTTTTTAAAATCAGTGGAATAGTGGAATATAACTGTAACATTTGTAATTTTAGATATCGGGAACGATGTGCAGCTTCGCCATTTCCACATTAATGACACAGATTCTGGACTTGAAATCAATGGAAATGTTACACTCATGGAGAATGTTGTATCATCTTACTCAGGTGGACACGGTGTCACTTTCAAGCTTGGAATGAAAGGAATACCTCCTGTTATCCACATTGATGGACTGGAGTCGGTAAACAACCATTTGTCAGGAGTCAGAGTCGACTTGGACACAGATGATTTTATAAGCAAGTCACAAATCAGGATATCCAACTGTGATGTCCATTCAAATACAGCATATGGCGTTTACATCCAGCAATATGTGAACATTTCTCTGACATCGTGTCGCTTTTCTGGGAATTCCTATCAAACGATCTTTTCCGAAAGTGACGCTGTAATAAACATTGAAGATTCCATTTTCTCAAACGGCACAAATGGTGCGTTTTACATGTATTACAGAAGGAGTGCAGAAAGTCGTTTACAAATTTCTGTTAAAGATTCACAGTTCTATGATTGCGATTTACAAAATAACTATCGCTGGAGCAGCAACAGACATTTGTTTCTTTTCCCGTCGTCAAGTTTTCAAGACTTGGATATTGCACTCATCAACAATACATTCCATAGGATAAATGCGAATATCTTGTATTGCCACACTAGTTACGAATCCACCACTTCCATGAATATTATGGACAACACATTCCAAAATATTACCGGTGGTATTGTTTGGTTACAACAACCAAACTACAAGACATTTCAGTTTCAGTTTGTAAATAACGTTGTAGAGAACGCATCAATGTCATCTTCTGAACCATTAATGAAAATCTTTGATCAGAAAACTATAGGAGGTCCGCTTGACATTGTCAATAATACATTTTCTGCGAATATAGCTTCGCATATAATTCTCCTCGGGGATATTAAAAAATCTGAAACAAACATGAGCATAACAGGGAACATATTCAAGGATAACATATGCTCTGAGACTGTAAATACTTCTTCAAATCAGCTCACACTGAGGAACAATATTTTTAGTAACCCATCTGCCACGCGCGAGCTAATAGCGCCATCTTTTGCCAGATGGTATGACATCGATGCTCGTTGGAACTTCTGGGGAAAACAAGACATGGATTATGTCACGCGCAGGATATGTGGATTTGACATTGACATGGCGAAGTTATTTGTGCATTATCTGCCGTACTACCTATCTGAAGATTTAACTGATACTTCAAGGTCATCTCAGACAACTTTCACAGGTGGTGAGATCACTGGTGAGGTACATCTTCTAACATCTGAATCACCATATGCTATAAAGAGATCAATATTTGTTAGGTATGTACAAACTCTTTATTAACATACATTGGCTCATGTAAATATCATTGTTATGCAGCTTGTTGCCATGTGCTAACAGTTCATAACTGACATTATCAAGACAATTTCAGAATGGTCATGTTTTGCATATTTTAACTTTCACGACAATTTGATTTCCAGTGGTCCATCCATAAAACTTTCACGGCAATCTTGAACTAATTGCAGCATGTCTAAAGTTATTCTTTTAATGCTTTATTATCACTACCACATGTACCATACAGTATAAAGAGATCAATATTTGTCAGGTATGAACAAACCCTTTATTAACATACACTGGCTCATGTAAATACCGTAGTTATGAAGGTTCCATGTGCTAACAATTCATCACGACCATTTCAGAAGGGTCATGATTTGTATAGTTTAACGTTTTGTCATCACTGATTTCCAGTGGTCCATTCATATAATTTTCTAATTGAAGCATGTCTGAAGACCAGTAATTCTCATGATGTTTTATTATCACTACCACGTGCTAATTTTTCATTCTTTTTATCAGGTCGGAGGGCATATTACGCATTGACAGTGGTGTGGAACTACAGTTCGAACCAAATACAGGAATCTATGTCGATGGTATGGGCAATTTGGTGTTGATGGCGTCAATGTAAATGCATTGTGGTGTGAGTGAGTATGGTTTCACGAAGCTTTTAGAAATAGCCCAGCAATATCACGGCGGGTGATACCAGAAACGGGCTTCGCACATTGTATCCTTGTGGAGAATCGATCCCGTGTCTTCGGCGTGACGAGGGAACGCTTTAATCACTGGGCTAGCCCGCCGCCTTATGTGAATTTCACGTCTCCGGGTTTCAGTGTGATTATGAGCAGTTAATAGTAACCGTTTAAAATAATGTTGCAGTAACAGTAATCGTTATTTTATTTTATTGAAAGGCGTACTTGTGGCCGGAGAAGGTGTAACTACAGAAAGAGTTCTACTGACCAGAGCAACAACGATGTCATGGTTTGGTGTTGTGCTTCCATACAAGACAGGTACTGTGAAGCGTTTGTGTTTCAGCATCATAGGAAGTGTCAACATCATATCAAGGTGTGTCAACACTTGGTTGCCATTTTGGCTGACAAGCACAAGATCATGTCAAGTTCAGAATCAAATCGGGGTTTCTATCGGACTATTCACACTGTGAAATGCAGTACCAGTCTGGTCAACCGATGCTCTTTTCGCAATACCCTTTTCCACAAAATATACGAAAATGATAACAACCACTATATTAATTCAAGCATGATGTAATTTTTGTTTGTTGTTTAACGCCCCAATCAGCAACATTCAGGTATATCGCGGTGATGTATATACGTGACACAGTTTTTGCAATTCATAGGATTCACAGTTTCTCACTGCGATACACGCTGTTGTTGACAGAGGGGGTATCTGAGACCGTCAGACTGACCAACGGAACAAAGCCGAATGAAGGACGACTTGAAATTTTCGTGAACGGGTCCTGGTCAACCATGTGTAGTATTAACAGGAAAGAGGCGCTTCTTCTCTGCAAGGAACTGGGCTACGGGTATGTATATTAGTACATTATTTGATAAATAATGTTGAATTAAATGAACCGTTAGGAATGAGTGAGTACTATGTATACCTTGGGGCTGGGGTCTTTAGTGTAACGGGAAACATAAGAGCAAAGGGGTATACCCATTTCTGGGGTCCCCAATCGTGAGATAATACTGTTATTTCGACTTAAAACCAAACTCGTTCGCCAATGATAACATTTAGTTTGAAAAATTCAGGTTCCTGTCACAATTTGTACTTGATCGTCGGGGTTATATAATTTAAGTTATCAAGCCATACGGGATATTTCCTGGGTGAATTATTACTACAAGTGGCATAACGCCCTGTCTATTCTGACATTGTTTGGATTAAGAACACCTCCTTGTACCAGACCCGTGAAGATTCAGTTGTGAATTGGTCTTTAAGACTCATGCTTGTCGTAAGAGGCCACTATCAGGATCGGGTGGGGAGACTCGCTGTCACGTGTCACTGTATCCCAATTGCGTAAATATATGTTCATGATGTTAATCACTGGAATGTCTATTCCTGACTCGATTATTTACAGACCGCGGCCATAAAACTGAAATATTGCTGAGAGCGGCGTTAAATAACCAACAAACAAACCTCGATGTACCAACTTTCTCTACAAATCGCCTTCTATTCTGACAATATTAATATCCTGCAGTTTGTTTGATCCACCAATATCAAAAAAATATCTTGCCAAGAGAAATATTCATTGCATGGTAATTATTTCACAAATCTTATCTGTTATATATACTGTTTTGCCTACTAAAATTTGCATACGTATCGAAATATATTTTATATAGCGAATTGGGAAGACGACCGAGGGTTGATTTCAAACATTACCTAATATAAACGATGTTTGACATTTGTTGTTGCTGTAGCTCTGTACAACATTGCGATTGTGAATTTGGAGCTTTTTCCAAGGTTATTTACATGATATCTGGCCATGGTTTTATGCTCTCGTTATGGCATTGTAGTCAAACATACTATAAGTATCTTCGGAATTTAAATGTCCAACCTGCTGAATGAATGTGACATAAATGATGCTCATTCCTTGTGTTATATCTACATTGTCTTCGTATATTTTGTCATTTTGTCTCAGGAGAAACTATGTTTTCAAAATCTGTTTTCTATCTATAAAAACCTCAACACATCTGACGCTCTGAGAAACAATTACAGGTATCAAAAGACTGAATGTCTGACGCTTTTAGATTGAAAACATAGTTTCTTAATCTGAACCAAGACAGCTTATGCTTAGTCTTTTCTGATCAATGAACAATATTTTAGATCAGAGGACTTTGATGCGTACCTGCTTCGAGATAGAAATGGAACAGTTCTCCAGGATCTCAACTGTGACGATTTGGCCTCCTCTCTATCTGACTGCCAGCCCAAACTCTCTTCCAGTAGATACTGTGGCAAACGTGGAGGTATTGGAATCCGATGCCACAACTTTGTTGCTCACACAGGAACACATACATGTAAGGAAAACTCACATACCCAATCTAAACTGATGTGCTGTCATTGTAAAACAGAAACATGTAAAGGGAAACTGTCTGAAAATCATCTATAGTGAGCCTGTTGTAGATTCAAATACCGCTTACAGGTTTTGCATATTATTTTATATGAAAATATTATGTTATATCTGTTTCCTCCATACTGACTTAGTAAGTTTGGTTTTACGCCGCTTTTAGCAATATTCCAGCAACATCACTGCGGGGGACACCAGAAATGGGCTTCACACATTGTACCCATGTGGGGATTCGAACCCGGGTCTTCGGCGTGACGAGCCAACGCTTTAACCACAAGGCTACCCCACCGCCCGTTTCCTCCATACACAGCTAATACTTAGTGTTAAGACTAAGATGAAATTAAACTAGATTTTATAGCAGATAGTGTTGGATAGATGGTTGATGTTGATGCGATGACAATTTTCAAATATTCACAGTGTGTTTTTGTTTAGATGGTGTGAAATAGGGTACGTATTTACGACGTCTTTGGCATCAAGATGTCCCATTACTTAATGAAGGTGATCTCCGGCATCTTACATGACTCGATGGATTTATTGTATATGTTCTGTTTCCAGACTCCTATCTGGAAAGAGTGTCCATCCAGGATTCGATAACTGGTCTTGTGGTAGAGACTCCCACAGTACGCTTGTCCAATTGCCATATCAACAACACAGAGAAAGTAGGCCTCACGATTCAGACTGACACCATTGACCTTGACCTGAATGGATCAGTTGTCGAACATGGGCAGTCAACAGGTATATTGACTAAAGTAACTAAACGTTTCCGTTTCTGGAATGGCACAACACAACACAATCAAGGAAGTGGAATTGTTCTGTTTGTAACAGCGGCTCCCACAACGGTTGAAAAAATGAACATCATTAATAACAGTCTTCATGGTTTGGAAACACAGCTGAATATACAGATCTTCAACGGCGTGTTACACATAAAGAGCAACAGATTTGTGGATCATGGCTGGGGAGGTTCGGGTCTTCAACTGCATGGCGAAGCACTGTCCAACACGATGGTGTACGTGGAACAGAATTCATTTTGTAATAATGTTAAATCCATGGATGTAAAAGTGGTGGGTATTAATTATTTCAGTGAAAACAGGTGCGTCATCAGGGGGAATATCTTCAGATCAACTGGTCAAATATCAGTGCTTTCAGGACACCAAGTATCTATTTACATTGAAGACAATCTTTTCAAGAATTCATTTGGTGGGGACAAATGTTTTCTGGATGTGGAGGTGGATGATACAAGAGATGGTGACAAAGTTCAAAATATTAGTTTGTCAACCAATAGTTTCCAAAATATTACAGGTCGATGTGTAGTTTATGTAAAATCAACAAATTATGGATTTAATGGGATGCTCACTTATAACCAGATATTCAGTTCCCCCACCGATGAAGGGACAGTCTTGTTAGACTCGAAAAACGTTAGCCTTTATTATAACACGTTTGATAACCCGAGAGCTGACTACGAACTAAAGATCCTGTTGGCTGGAGAGGAGCAGATTAATGCTGAACACAACTGGTGGGGAAGTGCTGATCCAGCCATTGCCGGACAACGGATTCTACACAAGGATCTTGACCAGAGGCTTCTCAAGGTGGACTACCTTCCTATCCTCACTGATCAGAATTTCGACTGTTCTGAGGTGCAGAACTGCAGTGATAATGGTAAATGTGTTCGTCCAAATGGGTGCAGATGTGAAGAGGGTGGGGCTGGAGCGAATTGTTCCGACTTCGACTGTTTTGGTGTTGACAACTGTAATGGAAATGGTTTGTGTAAGGGGCCGAACCAATGCAATTGTTCTCTGGGGTCATCCTGTGCAATTGCCACATGCCATGAAGTAAATGACTGTGGTGGAAATGAAAGAGGATACTGTGCGTTGCCTGAGAGGTGCACATGTTTTCCCCAGTTTTGCGGAGCTAACTGCTCCAAGTGTGCACCCTTACGATGGGGAGACAGTTGCCTTCCTTGTCCTCAGTGCAACCATGGATCGTGCAACCTCACAAATGGTACGTTGACGATGAATACCAAATTTGTTTTATTTACATGTGATGTTGTGAAAATATTGGCACAGATTCAGTAACATCTATCGGTCTCCAGCATATTGTAAAATGTAAGGAAAATTGTAAATGACAGCTCTCATATTCTGTTTTACGATTTTGAATTTCTTCCATCAGGACGTCGTCTGCGCATGCCGACAGCTAGAACAAACGTCATTCTTTAGTTCCAGACGGTATTCGTTTTTTTAACAACAGTTAATCTTCATATTCATTCATTTATCATTTACCACTGCTATATTTGTCTCATCATTACATTAAGTCATATCTTACTCATTCAGTCTTTTAGTGCTCTTACCTAATCAATTGTTTATTATCTTAGGGCTTGTTGAAATGTGATATGTTGTGATTCAATATTTTGTGGTGTTCTGTGTTTTACGATGTAGCCCGAATTTCTCTCGGGATAATAAAGTATTATCTTATTTTATCGCTGTTACAGCTTTATTTAACTATGAATTGAAATCATATGAGTAGTATGGAATCGTTCAAATACTTTGTTTACATATACGTATTCTAATTCAAACAGGCAACTGTGATTGCGTTGCTGACAACTGGTCAGGCGATTTGTGTGACACGTGCAGTGAGACGTTTTATGGCCCCAACTGTCTTCCATACACAAATGTCCTGAACATCATCCCAAGCTCTGGCCCTGACACTGGAGGAACAGACGTGCACATCTGGGGACACAACTTCCCAGAGACAGACAACGACATCTTCTACTGTAGATTCGACTCCACAGTGGTCAATGGCACGCGCATGTCGAAGGAACACGTCATGTGTAGGAATCCTCAGCATCAAGTAGGCAGTATAACTGTGGAGATTTCTCCTGATGGGCTACAGTTTACTCGAAATCAGGTAAATAACTATTTCTGCATAAGTGCAAGTGAGACGGAATGAGAGGGTCTTGTGTGAGAAGGGCCCTCTCAGATGCCTGATCCCGCTTTATTCTGAGAACTAGATCCCCGTGAAGATCCTGTCTAGAATTGGTCTTAAGCAGCCCGTGCTTGTCGTAAGAGGCGACTAACGGGATCGGATGGACAGGCTTGATGACTGGGTTGACACATGTCATCGTATCCCCAAATGCATAGATCGATGCTCATAACATCAACCACCGGATTGTCTGGTCCAGACTTAGTTGTTTACAGACATATAGCTGGAATATAAATAGATATGTCTAGTGACAGTATCTGCGATCGTACGTTCGCAAGAAAGTACACAGTGAATGTTATGTAATGTTATCAATTCCTGTTCTCCAGACATCATTTACGTACTATGAAGGTTGTCCACCTGGAGCATGTGGGAAAACGGAAAGCCCTCCCCATGGCCACTGCTTCTATGGAGGATGCATATGTACCCTGCCCTGGTCAGGACAGGACTGCAACGTCGAGCTGAATGCACCAGTTATATCCGCCTTTAAAAGCATGCAAGTTGCTGCTGAAGGAGATCAATATCATCTTCAACTGACACTCATTGAGGTAGGTTTGTATTGCTTATCACAATACTTGTGACATCGTATTTGCCCATTTGAATGTAACAGCTACCTCAGGTGATTTGTAAAATTATTCTTCCTAAAAGATCCAGTCTTGTCATATGCAGGTTCTGAATGATATTTCAAGACATCACATATAATCTCTAATGTCAGATTAATTACCACTGCCTGGCTGTGTGTGCTCAAACAGCTGTGATATATATACTCAGCAGCAAAAACAAAGTCAGTACGAATTCAAAATTAGATAGGCACTGTAATCAAATCATTACAGAAATGGACATAATAAGCGGATCAAAAATGTTTTTGTGTACAACATCTTGACACATCAATGATTATCTCAGCACAATTCCAAGACATTACGTGAACGTTTGCAGTCCATTCAGACTCTTGACTTCAGCGTCTAGTGTGACCACCACGAGCGGCAATAACTGCAGCAGATCGTCTATGTATGGAGTGCACCAATCGATTTATGAAGGCCATTGGCACCTTGAACCAGACTGTGAGAAGGGCCTGGCGCAAAGAATCGGCTGTGTTCGGCCTTGGTATGACGTTATTCCGTCTCAAAGATGTTCAATTGGGTTTAAATCAGGAGTAAGGGCTGGCCACTGCATAATGTTGACACCGTTCTGCTTTAGGAAGTCCCGTGTAGCTCTGGCAGTATGGGTCCGGGCGTTATCATGCTGGGAAATGTTCCGGTGACGTGCGAAATGTGGTATGACGTGGGGTCTGAGAGCTTGGTCGATGTAGCGCACCGCTGTGATGCCGCCTCCTCTCCCTGGACCAAGATTCTGGAACACTACAGGACCCACCCTCTGATTCAGGCCTATTCCACTCCATACCATGATGCTTCTCCCCATGAGTCTCTTTCCATAACTTGATCTGAGTAACGCTGGCCACGTCGTCGCCATATTCTTGTTCTGCCATCTGCAGTTAATACTCAGTACCGACTCTCATGTGTGAACAGAACTGTTCTCCATTGCCTGTATCGCCAGTTTTGGTGTTGTAAGGCAAACTGTAGACGTTCACTCCGATGACGAGGGGTGAATATAGGTCCACGGTAAAAGGAGGTTACCGCTGTTAAGACGTCGGCGTACTGTATCAGTACTGATTGGTCGTGTGTTCCTGCTATCTCGCGTGCTGTGTTGGATGCATGCATGAAGGGATTCTGTACATGCTGTCGCACAACATGGCGGTTTTGTCGTCTTGTGGTCACCCTTGGTCTGCCAGTACGGGGGCGATCATTTGTGGTGTTGGTGGCCCGGAAACGTTGCTGCAGCCTGTAGATGGTCCGAACGTTGACCTGGAAGTGCTGACGTTGTAATGTGAATGTTTCAACCAGGTTTGCGGGTGCATTTTATAGAGCTGGTCCTTAAGAACAGCACGTGCAGCATGGAGAACACCGTACCATCTCCGAGATCAGGTTGCGTTTTTGAGACCATTGCCTGGGTTCCATTCAGAGTTTGGGAAGGAATGTCTTTGCTCAGGTAAAGTTGGAGATGTTGTCAAAAATATGCAATCAAAACATTAAATGAGTTTACAGTTATCCGTTTCTGCTAAGGAAAATTCCAAACTCACGTTTCTTTTGCTGCTTAGTATAGGTATGCTTTCATGAGTTCTACGCCAAATGACACTTATTTTCAGTGACCTATTCAGATAAATTTGTGGTTACACATGACATCGTTTCCCAATTGCGTAAAAGCCACACTGTGGATGCAACATTTCTAGTATCTTAAGGAGTTATTTTCTCTTGGCCTTGAAATACTGGAGTGATGAAATGCCATTGACAATATCCAGTGTGGTCTTCAATTTACAGGGCAGTGCTCCAGTTGATTGGTACATATATGGAGCCCCTTCTGGAATGACAATTGACCAAAAGACAGGACTCATCTCCTGGGAGAGGACAGTAGCCAGTGTCCAGCCGTATACCATCAACGTCAAAGCATCCAACCGTATAGGCCGTACAGAAGTCCAGTGGTCACTGAAAGTCCAGCTGTCCTATAACATCACAATAGAGGACGTTACACCCACTGGGGTTCTGGCTGTTCCTAAAACCATCCAAATGAGAGGAATGGTCAATTATTTTAGTGGAACTTTACAATCTTTGATGGCTTTTGTGGATGTTAAGTGAGTTTTCATATGATTATGTATTGTGTTTTCATTGATAGTAGGATCAAAGATAAAGGTCGCACTGGAATTTGGCATAATAACAGCGAGTCAGTGAATGTATTATCAAACATAATGGTTAGATATGAATCTTTTTTAACTCAGATAATGTTTTAATATGTTTAGGCGCAATATAGCATTCTTCTTCTATAAAGGGTACGAAATAAAGGCAGAATTACAACGATGTCCATTGTGACATCCCCGAGGAACAGGGGACGTTTTGAAGCAGTGTACTTCCCTAAAGCTGGTGACAGTGGACTGTTTGAAGTGGTAAAGTATTCTACTATCTTTCAGTTAGAACACATACCTCCATTGAAGCATTCAGTTAGTGTAATACTTTTGCAATTGTAAACGTAAATTAGTGCTGACTGATGAAATAGTATTGACGACCCTGCAGGCAATGGTGTGGTTTTTTTTATCTTACTAATTTTCTTTTGCTGCCTCTCCTTTAGGATGGCCGCCACCCATCCGATACTGGCTTCACTCCTCAGAAATCGTGGAGTGTGTTGGGGATGATGTGTGTGCCAGGATATGTGAACAGACAAGCCTACTTGGACGCGGACGTGGTGGAGATGAGGGGTGTTTCTCTACTCAAGAATGATGGAGTAAATAGGATCAGTAATATCACAGCCAGAGTGAGTTGAAATAATGTTCTGTATGGCTGTTAAGTATATATCTACATGATTATAGCAAATTTTATAGACACTCCTTACGTGTTTGGTCACCGAGTGCAGTAAAAGTAACAACACACGTTCATCCTTTAAATGGTCATATTTTCTTCATCTGCTTTTCCATGAAGCAGTTATGTTGATATGTCAACTGTTCTGTTTCTGTGCTATCAGGTAGAAGGCATTGGTGGTCCATTAACATCTGTAGTTGTGAGAGCAGGAAACAGACTTTCAAGCAATGGTTCTCGACCACTTATAGTATTCTTGGACACAGATTCTGAAGTGTCCATAGATGTGATCCTCACAGTATCTCATCCTCTTCGTCCTCTTCGTGGTGTTATTGCTGTTGTGTTCAGTACACCCGATGGCACCACAGCCAGAGTTAGGATAGGATTGCAGCTGAATGTCAGAAAACCTGCTCTGATCCTCTCGCCATCATCTTTGTCAGATAGTGTGCCCAGAGGAACTCAGAAGACGTTCCAGGTAGGGGTCTGTGGAAATGGAAACTACCAAATTTACTCCATTAAGTGCCCGGGCGCTTATTTTTTCAATGAAGTTCCAGACCCGGCTGCTGTTAGAGAACTGGGGCTAATTACCGAAAATGTTAGTGAGCTCCTTTACCCCGGTGCTTATTGGAGGAAATATGGTATATCAAATGAGATTGTTAACTTAACTATTTCAGTGTGTATTTTCATGTTTTCATCAGCACTAATGCCCAAAGAACATATATCACGGTGTATATTGAAGACATCACCAATATAGTCTCAAAATCTTTAAAGTTGTCGAATGCTAGGAGTAATTCCTGTCCACAGATTAATATCAAGAACGAAGGCGAGGTCACCGCAAAATCACTCAGAGTAACGCTACCTTCGGAACCAAGACTTACAATGTCTGCATACTCCACAACAACTACAACAGCTTCAGAAGACCGCCTTGACCTACTCCCAAATGAGACGGCCATCTTGGTCCTGACAGTCACGACTGGCGCAACCGACAGTCTAGGCCAGTTTAGTGGCAGCGTAGCCCTGAACTCGGATCTGTCTTCTGCTAGTATCTCTTACAGGTTCTATGTGACATCCCAGGAGAAATTAAACATCACAGTTCGGGTAGAAGATGAATACACATATTTCGCCTCTGACAAGCCCTTGGTGTCTGGAGCTGTTGTGACACTCCGAAATCCTAGAAGAAGATACACGGAACAGAGAATAACCAGTAATCACACAGGTATGCTGTTCATCAAATATTCCTAAATAGACATATCGTATGATAGTGATTTGTTCAAATACAAATAATCAAGGTTGCTATATTTCAGTAATATATATATATCACGCATGAAAAACCATGGTTGTTTGAAAATATAGGTTTACAACTTTCTTGTTATTAGGATATCCCATCTTGTACTATGAATTCTTACATATTATTTGTGGCTGACATTTATTTGACTAAATAGATAATAAACACTGCGACCATGAAGTTGTTGATGTTTTATTACAATGACGATCTGGTAGCCTAGTGATTAAAGCGTTCACTCGTCATGCCGAAGAACCGAGCTCTTCTCTTCACAGAGTTGGTGGTGTTTGAGGATGTGGATGAAGATCGATACACGCTGACTGCCACCGCTCCAGGACATGGGTCCTACTGGGCTGTGATCATTGCTAAACCCTCAGACCCCTCCATCACCATCTTCCTGCAGAGAGTTGCTGTAAAGTACACGTGGACTGTTACCCCCACAACCTTTCAGGACAAATACATAGTCACTCTGGATTCTACCTTTGAAACACAGGTAAACTGTAAACACTAGTGCTTTTTGTAAGGAAAGTTTATTCACCAGGTATTTACTGAACAGAATTGCTCATCGTTGTAAATATCTTATTGATGGTTATCTTACTCACTGGGTGTTTTCTCAGCAGATATGTTCACCATTGTAAATGTATTGATGGTAGTCTTACATTCTATCTCGGTGATGGCATTATGTGGCAATACATGGCTGATATGTGTCAACTCTTCATGAATGATCTGTAAAGGTACCCATGCCTGTTGTCACCGTGGAGCCAGCCAGCCTGAATCTGATTCCATATGAGGAAGGAAAGAAGGACGTGATTAATTTCAACATCACCAATCACGGCCTGATCAGGGCAGACAATGTTAGGTTTGCTCTGCCAAGTCATCCAACATTGATCTTTACACAGGTGAATATGTTGTCTATTATAACTACACGTGCGCGTGGACACGATTGCTTTTGTCCTCTAACCTCATATTTCTTAAATATTGCTTAGAATATCAGTGTAACAATAAATATATGCTCAGTCATAAATTTCATATTAAGTACAAGGTGGAAGGGTCAGATAATTGCATGCTTGTTAGGATGTTTTGCTTACCATAAACATTTCAGCTATCATCCTTTGTCTAGAATATCTTAGCTCTTCTCCTTCATTTAAAGTTACCAACATGACGCACCCGTTATTAAAAACTACACATGCTTGTAACCTGTAACTCAATTCAAATATTGTCTTAAATTAAATATTGTAAACACATATCGACCACTTACAGAATGGCCCTCTGGAAGAATGCAGTGATATAAACACTGATAAAAAATGTGTGAGTTGAACCTTTTAGATAATGAACTTTTTAAATCATTACCAAGTCTCTATGTGTAAATGGTGTAATAACATTTGTAGTCTGTATCGTCCTCGCAGACAATAGATCCGATAGGAGACCTACCGGCAAACACAAGCATCATTGTTCAAATCTCGGTTAAACTGAAGACTCGAGTGAAGAGGAACCTAGGCACATTGGCATGTGGTTTGAAAATGCTTTACGATTACTATTGTGGTGGTACAAGAACTGGAGGCCAGGACATCACTCTGACAAGGACGTATCCAGGACGCCCTCCCTTGCCCATGTGTAGTTGATGTTGAAGGAGGCAGAGGTGGTGGAGGAGGCAGAGGAGGTGGAGGTGGGGCAGGTGGCTATGTTGGAATGTCAGGTAAGATGCTTACATAATATATCAATATCCGGTACTTGCCTGTTTTCATTATTTGTAGGAAAATTTCCCCAAAGTGTGTGTAATATGTTTGAAGGAGATGATGCATTTGGTTTTAGGTATTGGTGGTGGTGGGTCATCTCCATCTAGTTCAGTTGTTGTCTACAATCCCGTGACTCCACTCACCTGTAACTGTGCTGGGACGCTCATCAAGACGTGTGCTTTGGGTTTTCATCCAATTGCTGGATGTGTCTTAGCAGTGACAGGATTCGCTGGTGCCAGTGGCTTCTGGGGATTTGCAAAAGCAGTCTTTGACTTTGCTACTGCATGCGTCCTCCCTGTCTTTTGTCCTGAATGTGATGAGGGTCTTACGTGGTTGCAAGAAGTTGAGTAAGTTAAAAATACTTAAGTGTGAATGTGTAATTAGTGAGATGACAGGTTCATGTTTAGAGTTGGACATGATTGTTGTGCACCTGTATAAGACTCTTTTCAGGTCTTGTCTAGACTAATGCTTAGTCTCTGAATATACAGAATTCTGGTTGTAACAAATTAACCCATTTAAATTGAAAAAGAGCACCAGGGAGACCAGAGATTCAGAACCTGAAGAAATCTAGACATGCTTCATGTGGAGCTATAGCATTGCAGGGAGGGCTAGGCTGTAGGGAAAATAATATTGTTCAGTGACTGTGAGATAGACTAGATCTTGTCAAAAGCACATTTCTGTATGAACAAATCTTGACCTTTGCTGTTTTATTAAGGAATTGAATGTACTTTACAAACGTAAAAACAATTATCTAAACATTGTATTTATTTTGAAAAATCAAAGAAACTTTCCAGACGTATGGTATGTAATAGCTCGCATCATGTCCGGTCTCTGTAGCTAGCATAGGATCGTTCGTAAATCCGAATCTCAACTTCAACCTGATAATGAGTCCTAGGAAATCAGCCTGTGTGCTCGCGAGTATCCCGAAACTGGTTAATATTTACATTCCGTGTCACATAAATTTAGGCATCTCTGATTTGAATACATGCTTAAATGGTCAAATTAACCTTAAAATAAATTGTTATCTCTCTTTAGGTGCATATATGAAATGAACAGAGACTGTAGCTCAAACCGACGCCGACGTGCTACAAATGGGGAGATCATCCAAGGAGTGGTGAACAGTAACGTTGCCCTCAGGAACTACATGATCATGTTGGAGGAAGTCTTTGGAGGACAGGAAATGTAAGGCTTGACTTCCGAGTTGATGTGTCTTCATCAGCCCATGCTTGTCCTAAGAGGCAGCTAACGGGATGGGGTGGGCAGGCTTGCAATTGCGTAGCTCAGTGCTCATGTGTACACCCACCCACCCAACACCTCCCTCCCTCCCACCCCCGTTAATAATTAATTGGCGAAACATTGGGCGTTTATTTCCATGTATACACAATAAATACGCCAGTGGCGTCCACCAGTCTATTGGTGGAGTTTACATTTGGTGCCTAAACATGCACGAGTTTCATGATACAAGGTTTCTATTTTCAGGTTCAGTGTATATGACAAAAGCTGGGTGTCTTCCTTTAACCTTGCCCTGGCTGATGATAGTGCAGGAGGAGGCTCTCTCTCCCCAGTGAGATCGCATCCATTGTTGCTTCAATGAACTCCACGCAGGGGGTGATTGTAGAGAAGTTCCTGCTCAGATGGAACAAAACAATGACAGCTTGGGAAGACGGAACACTCACTTCCCTTGGTCCTAAAGACAATGTCATTGCATATAATGTCATCATGTCGAGATTTCCGCAATTTAAGACAGACACGGAAAATGCCAAACAAGTAAGTTTATATGAACATTCTTTATTGATATTATGTGCAGGTGGACGTTCCTTCGTCAATTGACCCGTGAAGATCCGGGTTATAATCTTTGCTTGTCGTAAAAGGTGACTAATAGGATCAGGTGGTCAAGCTGGCTGACTTGGTTGATAGATTTCATCGTATCCCAATTGTGTAGATCGATGCGCATGCTGTTAATCACTAGATTATGACATAAAATTGGATAAAGTCTTCCATGTGCCGTATCAAACTTGTAACAAGCCATTAGCTGAATTTAGTGAAAAATCTGCGAAATGTTGAGATCATCTTCTGTGAAGGACAATGACTGCTGTATGACACTACCAACTCGCAAATACATAAGTCGTAGGTAAAAAGGTGTTTACATCACTCATCACATTAAAGATCAATTCTTTGATATGGATCATATTTGCTTCTCAATCACCGGAAGCAGAGGGGTCAAATCAAAATAACCACCTCTTATAAAATCATCGGAATTAAAAGCCATTTAAGTTATATAGAATAGTTTATCTCATCGTTGATCGGTATTTCTGTACTCATGTACAGCTTGTAAAATCAAATCGATAAACCATCCCACCCACCTCATTTGCCCCTCCTGAAATCAAATTGTATGCTTTTGACACGATAGAATGGAAATGAACACATAGGACTAAAGCGTTCCCATTGAAAAATTCGCATTAGAATTGCTTCACAATCATCTTTGTCAAATACATACATGTGTCATGTTTTATCATTGCAGAGAGGATTTGACTCCATATTTGATGACTTTGGAAATGCAGTCAATGCCTATCAAGAAAACGTAAAGAAGGTGATACTGGACAAGACTAAACATTTATTACATCTAGTAATACTGTGTATTGTGTATCGAACTTCAGCCACACCTTCGAAAAGATGACATAACACTTCCTACACTCGTCACATTAAACTTAGTACCTTATCATGAACTGATTAACTAACTCTAACCAGGTCATTAAGATTATTGAGATAAAAGCCCATCCTCCCGACCCCCTACCCCTAACTACACCTCATGTCAGCCCAAACAGTTTAAAGCTTGCTATTTGAGAAAGATTAGAACAGTCTGGAAACGTATTTCTAAATACATAGCCCGATTGTTGCTGGTAGGAGCTACATGACTGCTCATGATTTTATTAGAAACATATCGGAAATAGAGTATCCACACGTTTCACCTGTACGCCATGGTTCAAGTGAATACGTTAATGTGCAGACTGATACTGTACCTGTTTGAAAGTCCATGTCATCTTTTTCGTCAGGGTGGGAGCGATGATGGAGTGTGTGCCAAGGTTCGAGTACGTATTGTGCAAGAAGTGGTCCTCACCCGAGAAGCTTTCACTGCTCGTTTAGAGATAGAAAATGGAGAACAATCAGCCCTGGATAGCATTCGGGTCACTGTAAACATAAGGGCAACATATGGCGCTGGAACATCAGTTAATGACAAATTTTCAGTTGGTAAGTATATTTAGTCGGACATGTTCAAACTATGCCCATTTCATAAAATAAAACGGAAAACGCGTCATCATATTGAGTAGGATTTAGGTTAAAGCAGTAGAAATTGAATGAATAGTGAATTCTGTGATGTTCCTTCTTTTCCAAAGGAAACCCAACTTTGGTGGGTCTTACTGGAGTTGATGGTACAGGCAGGCTGGAGACAGACGTGTCAGGTACAGCAGAATGGCTGATCATCCCCTACTCCACAGCAGCAGTCAAGGAAGACACCCTCTATGATGTCGGCGGGACTCTTTCTTACACAGTTGATGGCTCCAACTTCTCCATCCCTCTCCTGCCAGATACTATCACAGTTAAACCAAATCCCAGCCTCACCGTCAACTACTTCCAGGAGAAATACGTCCAGGGTGATGACCCCATGACAAACGTGACGGAGCCAGTTGTTCCTTTCACACTGGCGGTCATGGTCACCAATGAAGCCTACGGTGTAGCCCGCCAGCTGAAGATAACCTCCGCACAGCCAGAGATCATTGAAAATGAGAAGGGATTGTTAGTCTCTTTCAAGATAATTGGAGCGCAGCTGGATGGAAATCCTGTCAGCCCTTCTCTGTCTATAGACTTTGGAGATATTGAATCCTTCGAGACCAAGACTGCTCGCTGGTTTCTAACATCAAGTCTAATGGGGACATTTTACAACTACACAGCTACGTTTGAGAACATTAACCCCTTGGTGATCCTCAGTTATCCATAATGGAAGACCTTGGATATCACGAGTTGGTCCATCTGGTGAGACTCGAGTCTACAAATGACACAAGAGATGACTTTCTGGTTAATGATATCATAGATAAGGATGAAATGCCTGATACGGTTTTTGACAGTTCAAATGGACTTGATTCGATTCCAGTGAGTTCATCTAATGTTACGGCCTTCAGTTTACAAAGAACCGAGACTGTTAGAACCAGGACGTATACTTACGTAGGCCTGACTGTTATGATGTCATGGCGCCCCTCCACAATCTATGCCTACACTCGCCTGGTGAACAACGTGACAAGAGACAGTGTTACTGAAACACTCCTGCAGGTTACCAGAGATGATGGGAAGGATGTCATGGTAGGACCTAATGCCTGGCAGACATCCCACTACCATGATAAGTTTTATTTACATATATTTGACCACTACAAGAACATTACTGAATCAACCAATATCTCTTATTCACTGGTATTTGGGCCAAAAAATATGTACAAGCCAACATTTACTAAGATTATTTACGAAATATTCGTTCGATTTGGTCAGCCACCCGGTCCCATTCTTGCAGTTGAAGCAACGGATAAAGATGTTGACACGCAAGTGCGCTACAGTCTTGACAGCTCATCTGTGTTTGCTATAGATGAACTGTCTGGAGAAATCCGAAACATTGAACCCCTCACAAATATGCTGTATGAATTGACTGTGACAGTAACTGATGATGGTATCCCCCTCGGTGAAGAGTTCAGCAAAGGTTGTGGTGAGGGCTGGCGTCAGCAGCATGTCCTCAACACCAGTTTCGACTTCTACTGACGAATCTTCAGTAACAGGAATTTCAACCGGTAGATCAACTTCCCAGGTTACAGGAGAAACATCTGCTGGAACTGTACCGTCTCCCACCACGTCACCCATCAGCCTTACAGCTTCGTCCACAGCAGCAGGTTCCGGTACGAACAACACAATTGCTGTAGATACAACCTCTCCAACTATAGATATGGTTTCATCATCCACTTTCAACGACTCATCTGTTTCCACTGGTACTACCGTGTCAACATCCGGGGCAACAAACAACCTGTCCCGTGTTTGGACTTTGGTTGTAGCGGGAATACTGATGTATACAACATACTTATCATTGTGAACATTTGATTTGTCCCATTTGTATATTATATTCGAGGGGAGTATGTGAGCATCCATGTTAACTCTGAACGGCCTTTTATATTGCTTCTAAAGCCACTAGATTTCTATGATGAACCTACCTAGAAAATAAAGACTGCTGATTTACCTTAGTTGTCAACGCCACTATTGTCAGGATTAGGTTCCTGTGTGGCTGTAGCTGCTACATGTATACACAGACTGTATTATAAGCACTTAATTACATGCACCGCCCTCAATAATAATCAGATGATACAGGAAATCGTGAAGCATCTCAACAAACAGGCATACCTTATATGAGTTAAATCACATGGGCTTTATCATCCTGCTGTACAATAGGTAAGGTTTTTTTTATTTACTTATATTGTTTTATTTTTTTAAGATACATAAAAACCCCGAGCTTCTTATATTCATAATTAACCACAACTGTAGGTAAATGTTTCATAAAACAGCAACACTACGTCCTTCAAGGTTTTAACAAAAAGTCTCTAAACAACAGTTTGACTGTCAGATTTATCTCATATACAGTTCACTAACCTTTACTGGACACGTTTACTAACCTGTACATATATTTTTTTATTGCGAATGGAAATATATATTTCTCTGCTTGAACTCATTGTTGCTTGTGTCTGCTGAGTCGCGGTGGAGGTTTAAGATGTTACATTGTATGAATTGTCACTATAATATCTTTGGTTTTATGTATCTTCTCTAAATGCACAGACGTCATAATTTCATTGTATTCAAATAAAATGAAAACAATTATTGCTTTGACCCATGATGTATGATATGAATAAATGTATTTTTAGAAATCTCCACCCCACTGTGTCTGTGAATGTAATGTTGTCCAGGGTCGACATCAGCATTATTCCCCAGCTAATTAACAAATATCTTTAAATAATCAACATTTGCACCTTACAGGCGTTTGGTAACTTGATAGTTTTTGTCTGTTTGTTGGTTGGCTATATAACTCCACACTTAACAATATTCCAGCTACATGACGGCGGTCTGTAAATAATCGAGTCTGACCCTGATAATCCAGTGATTGAAATCAGCAGCATCGATGTACGCAATGGGGATACGATGGTCAGCGAGCTTGACTACCCGATCCCCTCAGTCGCCTCTTACTAGGAGCAGCAATTGCCGAAGATGTTAACCCCGATCCACCTGGACACAATCACAAAAGTAGCCAGGTCACTCAGGGTAACCACCGAAAACCCAGTAGTTGGCTCCATAGAATTAGACTCCATATTACTTATGAATTCTATCACGGATTCCCCACAACAGTTTGTACAACATTCATACCTACACTATGAGTGAGTGAGTGAGTGAGTGAGTGAGTGAGTGAGTTAAAATTAAAAGTCACTTTGGCAATATTGCAGGCATAGCGTGACTAAATAAAGTTATAGTTTAATGATAATTAAAGGTACATTATAAAAAAACTGTCAACAAAGGACAGTAATACAACTAGAATATCACAGTTATAAATGTAAAACTAGTAATTAAATCTAAAACATTTTAACTATAGAGGACAATACAATTTAAGAACAGGCTATAGATTGCCAACACCTGAAGGTTCAACTTCAAGTTCAATCAGTCCATTGCATGAAAGCCAGAGGCCCATATACAAAATAAATATGTATAATATGCCCAACATATACAACATAAGACACACACGTTACATTGAATCCCTTCTCAATATAAGCGCGTGATAAATAAATAGAGTTACCTTATGTTGTAATAGGGATGCTTTTCAGGAAAGTTTTGTAGCATTAATATTTGATTGTAGCCATTGTGGAAAATACAGTTGACTTAAATCATTATATACAGGACAAAGAAATAAAAGGTATAGCTCATTCTCTACAGTATTACAAAATGGACAGCACTTAATAATATAATAGATGAATATCTTCTTTGATTGATATATAAATTATGTAGGCCAAGTCTCAGGCATATGAAAACATTAAGAAGCTCTTTATTACGTAAGTTGTATAGATAATACTCAGGTTCAAGTAAAGATTTAAACTCACAATCATATCTTGAACTTTCATATAAAGATGAATGCCAGTCTTGTTTAAAGATATCGATAGCCCTGGTACGAAAATGTTTCATAAATGCATTGACGTCGCCCAGGGTTTGGGATAACCAAACAAATCCAAAGCCGTATCTAAACAAAAGATTACGAATACAGGTTGCCCAAGTATTTTTACCAATATTTTCAAGATGGACAATCATATTGTAGGTATGTTTGGGCAGACGATGTTCTGGCATATTTATTACTTTACACCAGTACTTTAAACAGCGAGAGTAAGAAGTTACGTACAAAGGAAATCTCCCACATTCACCGTACACCATATTATTAGGGGTAGACATCCCAACATGTAAAATCCTTTTACATGCAAGAAGGTGGACTTTTCAATGGCATAAAATTCCTTGTAGCACCAAATTTCAGACCCATAAAGAAGAATAGGCTGTACTTGGGAATCAAACAATTTCAAAAATATATTGGAACCAACAACCCCCAACTTTGGTATAACAGAGAGCAATTGAAGTAGGGCCCTTGTCCCTCTAATTGCCAAAATAATAATAGATTTATTCAGATTTAGTGTATGTGTAAACAGTATCCCTAGATATTTATATTCGTTAACAACAGTCATACGTTCACATTTAAAGTACCACTTTTCTGTAGCTGCCGTTGGACCACCCTTACGAAAAACAAACAAATTGGTCTTTTCAAGATTAACATCAAGTCGCCAGTTATCTGAATAAGATGAAAGTGTATCAATTTGTCTCTGAAGACCAATAACAGTACTTGACATAAGGATCACGTCGTCGGCAGAAATTAAAATAAATATTTCAACAAGATCAGGAAATAATTGGATGCCATGTCAACGACTATAATGTCAAAATATAGTTCGTTGATAAAGAATGAGAAAAGTATGGGCTTAGAACACAGCCTTGTACACCAGTAGGACAATCAAAATAGTCAGTGAAAGCATTATCACATCGAACACAAGACTTTACATTTGAATACATTGACCTGATAATATCAAACATTTTCCCTTTAAGACCCCTATTTCTAAGACATTTCCACATTTTATCTCTATCAACAGAATCAAAAGCCTTTCTAAAATCGACAAAAGCTACATACAATTTTCTTTTATTAAAAGCTAAACATCGCTCAATTACTGAGTATACAGTAAAAATATGATCGAATGTTGAGTATTCCTTTCTCATTCCAGCTTGTGAATCTGGAATCAAGTCCCTCACATTTTCCACTGTGTTAGCCTATTGTTGATAATAGATACAAATGTTTAACCAACAACACTTGTCAGAGATATGCCCCGATAATTGTTAGGGTTATTTATGTTTCCATTCTTAAATAATGGAACAATTATTGATTTAGCCCATTCAGACGGAAAACATCTAGAATAAAATATCCGATTAAAGCTTTTAACTAGAAACGGCATTATCTCAGGCAAGGCAGCTTTGATCATTTCGAAATAACACCATCCACAGCAGCAGACTTTCCAACTTTAAGACGAGATACAGTATCAACTATTGCTAATTCTGTAATAGGAGACTGACTGACTGACTGACTGAGTTTGGTTTTACGCCGCTTTTAGCAATATTCCAACAACATCACGGCGGGGGACACAAGAAATTGGCTTCACACATTGTACCCATGTGGGGATTCGAACCCGGGTCTTCGGCGTGACGAGCCAACGCTTTTACCACTAGGCTACCCCACCGCCCCACTCAAGTAGAAACTTATCAACATCACTAAACTCGTCACATAGATCACCATACTAGGGACCAAGGGGACTTACAGTACCGTTGCTTCCTGCATGGACCCTAGCTGGATTTACACCATCCCTTCAGATATTAGCAATGTTGGACAATCTAAAATAACACATATGCTGCGGTTAAACTCTGGTATGTGTAAAGGCCCTCGGATCGCCCATCAACACAATTATCGATTAGGACCAAGTGATGTTTTAGTTGCCATACAGCCTAGGTAGTATTGGGACCAACTGCAGCACGCGGTGGAGAAACTGTCATGTGAGTGAATGCTAGTTTAGTCATAGCATGAAGTAGTATGTCACAATGAACGTGCAGGTTTACATTTTAATATACTGAATGCTGGCTGTCATACAGTCACATGGAGTTACACTCGGTATTGACCTTGAATCATGTCAAAACAAGGTCTGAATCTTTGACATTTGGGTTCTTCCTGATTATGCATAATTAAAGTTTACTTGATGTGTAAATGTCATCTTGGTATATAACAGAAGTGTTATTTTCAGTCAAAACTTAATTTAATTGTGTAGTTTGAGCAGGAGAGGAATAGTTATTTTGGGTAAAAATTCAGTCACATCACATTTTCATCAACATATTCTTTCATAAAGAAAAGGTTATGGCATTTGTAAAACTATCAGTAGATAAAGCTTCTTTAGCTAAAGATTAAATTGGTGACTATACCCTAACTTTTCTGTAGCATCACATCTTATTTTCAAAATAGGGTGGTGCTTAATTATTGCACATGTGTATGTATCAAAGGGGCTGGATCGTTTGCTCTCACTCAGGCTTCGATGACAACACGTGGAGCCGTACAAGAAAGGATCGCTAAACCATTCTAACAATGATGTTTAAATAGATGTGTAGACTCATCAAAAATAAAAGAGGAAGAAATAAGTACTTTATATTGAATGGACTGTGTAAGATGTCACGAATCGTCACATCTTTCTGGCCTGTGGCAGAGGTACTATGCTGGCTGGCCGAATTGGTTTCAGCAACCCATGCTTGTTGTAACGGGAGACTAACGGGATCGGGTGGTCAGGCTCGCTGACATCGTTGACCCACATGTCATTGTATACAAACTGCGTAGATCTATGTTCATGCTGTTGATCACCTGATTGTTTGTTCCAGACTCGATTATTTACATAGATATAGATGGAATATTGCTGAGTGGCGTTCAGCAACAAACAGGCCCATCCCAGTACCCGACAATACACACCAGTCGTTTTGAGCCCTTTAACACAAGTATGTTTCATTTAAAGCCAGTGAAAGTTGTAGACCTACAGAATATATGAACATTAGGCTGTCTGAGTGCCATGATGCGTTTGATAAACAGAGATTATTACACGAGCAAGCGTGTCATACGACGTATACGAAATGCGTATGAAATTTTGTACTATATAATTTTGCACGGGTTTCCTACAAGTCATCTGACACACTTGCTCGAATGTAATAATATCTTAATTATCCATTATATTATGGTCATGTACATTTGTACAGTAAAACACGGTAAGCAAGTGCGGCGGTCCTCTTCGTTGACGTCACGTTCACTTGTTTAATGACGTCACAGACGACGAAATACAGAAACAATGTTTGCTAGGCAAAGATGATATGTGTACATGTGTTAATATGATGTATGTCACACCTGTTATGTTTCATCATGTGGGTAATATAGGTAAATCCGACCTGTTTCATCTAAACAAATACACTTTTGTTGCGTGTGTATGTGTGCGCTCCAGCGCTGTTCCATTGTACGATGTACATCTCCCAGTCGTTGTGTATTTGAAATGTATGTATGCTTTAAAAGGTGTATGCATCTATGCATGTACGACCCGTGAAGGTCCAGGTTAGATTGGGCCTTCAGTAACCTCAGGCGACTGACTCGATCGTGTGGTCAGGCACGCTGACTTGGTTGACACATGTCATTGGTTCCAAATTGCGCAGATCGATGCTCATGCTGTTGATCACTGGTTTGTCTGGTCCAGACTCAATTATTTACAGACCGCCGCCATATAGCTGG